ATGTAACATCACATCAAGGGACAAAACCCATTTAGTATTCATTCGTTCTGATTACAGTTTTATTGTAATCATAAATCAAAATTGAATATTATTTTATATCGAAGTCTCAGTTTCAGATGATGTGCAAGTTAAGCCCCACAATGAGGATGGAGCAAGAATCCTGTCTGAAGTCATTGTTTCCAACTATGAACATGACGAACAGAGCAGAAAATGTGAACATTGAAATCTTTGCATTTCATGAAAAATACAGAAATGTGTTTAGTTTGTATCCATCTGTCTTCAAATACGATTAACTGGTGTATTTCAACTTACTCCATTTGTTACAGCACCAGTAGTACTCCTAATCTCTAAAAGTCCTTCCAGCTCACTGTGCTGAGTTTCAAAATGTCAAAGGTGCATCTTGGAGCATATTTTGCTATTGGGGTCACTGTTGGATGCTGCTGTAACAAAAACAGTGAAACTTTACAGTATTAGAGCTTTGGAAGACTGCCATCTTGTCACCTAGTCAACATATTTTGTACAGAGTTTACTTTCTAATCTTACTAGTTTCTATGCTGGATTATTGTTTATGTTGGCTTGTGTTTAAAAAATGTATTTACAAGCCATAAAAACCTTCCTCTTCTATAGCTGGAGCACCGTCCACACCTTGGAGCCATCAAGGCTCAACCTGCAACATCTCCCCGAGAGCAGAGTTCAAAAATCCAGGGCGGCTGAAAGATGTAAAGGCAAAACCTTATATACGCCTCCCTGAAATCCTCCGGCGGAGAAATGTCAGAAGGAAAAAGCAAACACTGGCATTGAACCTGAACTGATTTATTGAACTCGTGCCAAGTCATGCATGCTTTTTATCTGGACTGTTGGGGACATTTATCCCCCTGTTCTGATTACCGTGGTAAAGTCGACAACCAACAGTTTAACAGTGGCAAACCACATCTAATAGAGGATTTGGGCTTGGTGTATTATTTTGGATTATGTTGTGTTAAAACACTGCTGAGCAGAGAACAGCGAGGGAAGCGCCGAAAACATTATCGCTTCCAAACTGTTGATGATGATGATGATGATGATGATGATGATGATGATGATGATGATGTGGTCTGATGGCAAAAGCTTTGCTAATTCGCACAAATAATTTGCCTGTGTGGTTTCAATTTATTTTCCAGAACTGTTAAGTAAGCTCTTGGTTTTCACATGAGATATTTTTAACCATGGCAGCAGTGTGGCTCTGAGGATGGCACTGTCGGTCTGATATTAGATTTGTCTGTCCACAACTTTGGTAATGACGTTCATGGTCCCCAGAGGATGTTTCACTGTGACTTTTGCTCCCAGCAGGCTCACATTAGAGGTTTTGAGTAAAATGCCTCAACGTTGACAATCCCCTGACTTTTCATGAGGCACCAATATTAGGTCAAATTTTTAAGTTGTCAAATACTTTGGTTATGCCTGCAAATTGATTAGCTTCAGCTTTACTCTGTTTGGTGCAAATTAGCAAATGTTAACATGCTGAAACACTGAACTAAGAAGGTAAACTGGTAAACATCATACATGCTAAGCATGAGCATGTTAGCATTATCACAGTGAGCATGTTAGCATGCTGAAACACTGAACTAAGAAGGTAAACTGGTAAACATCATACATGCTAAGCATGAGCATGTTAGCATTATCATAGTGAGCATGTTAGCATGCTGAAGTTAGCATTTAGCTCACAGCACTGTGGCTGAGTGCAGCTTTGAAGAGCTGCTAGCACGGCTGTAGATCTTAGTCTTCTTGCGTTTTGTGGGTTCTTCTGTAGATGTGATGGGAAGAGGAAAATGTCATGTCCAGTACTTCTACCCAGAAATCACCGTTTAACTGATTCCTTCGTATTTAATACAAAATACGTAATTCAAGCCAAGTTTAAGTTCCAAGACATTAATAATAATCAATGAGTTTCACTTTCAGCTGTCCTTCCTGTCCTGTCCTTGTTGAAACTCATTTATAAATATTTAAACCGCAAGACTATGCGAGTGTTATCGGGGCTCAATGAAGTCTCTTTTGCAACGTTTTGATTGGAGTAAACTGCACTTCTAGAATACATCAAAAATGTGTGAAATGTATTCACTCATCTTCATAGCTGTCACTCAAAGACATTATCCTGTGAGCAGCCAGCAGCATCTCATTATGCAAAATCAAACAAGACAGTGGAATTGAGTTTGGTGTCCCAGAGTAACATAAGTAAATATAGCCTGACAACTCATATTGGAGAAGACTTAGATGCCTATGCCTGGATATCAAGACAACGGTTTGGGCAAGTATACATGCATGAGATACCTTGTCTGCAGAGGGAGCAGAACAAACAACCTTCTAAGCCTCAAATCCACCAAATCTGGAGGAATACGAGGAAGTGCGTTGGTGTGATCCTTAACGGAGCGGTCCATCTGTGTGTGCGGGGGTTTTGTGTATAAGATCCTCTGAAAATATATCATAAAGCAAATGCAAATCATATAGTGGCTGGTCTCCTCACAAGTAGTAGAAGTAAGAACTGTTTTAACGGATAGGACTCTAGTGTTTTCCAAGTTCTAGCATATGGTGATAAAAGATATATACGCCGCATGTGCCCAGGTCATCCAAGCGATGGTGACAGGTGACATATGTTCAGTCAGACATGAATGTGTTTGGCTCTCAGGTGGTGCGACAGTGCCCTCCTGTGGAGCCGCTCTGCTCCGCTCCTCTGGTACAAACACATCAGAGCTGCTTTCTGCACTGACCAGAGACCTGCCAAGTGTAATGATGAATCACAGACAATTCTTTTTGGCTGTCAACAGTCCCAACAAAATGAGATTTTGACTTCTGCTTGAAAAGCCACTAACAAGAACAACAACAATGTGGACAGCTGTGCAGTGGAGGGGAAAAGCACTCAGACATTTTACTGAAGTTAAATATGAGATTGCTGACAATGTTTCTTTTTTATTTTGTTCAAAACAACCCTTCCAGTATCTTATGTTAAAACGGGAGATTTGATATTGACATTTTTAGTACCATAGTGTAGAAATACAAAACCTGCATTCAAAAAGTTACATAAAAGTAAAAGACTGTAAGTATTAATGTTGAAATATATACGTAAAGTAAAAGTACTCATTATGCAGAACAATGTATATTATACTATACAAAGATACAGTGACGCATTAATTAGTGCGTTACTTCAATGTTGCAGCTGGTAAAGGTGGGTCTAATGTTTAGCTTGTGAATTTCACCAAAGAATGAATTAAGTCGTATCTTTATCCATAATCATACATCATAAGTTATTTGTTCATTAGATTTTATATCATCAATGTGGTGGAGCAACACACAGTCCCTCTGAACTGTAGAAGAGTAGACGTGTAAAGTGGCACAACATGGAAATACTCAAGCAAAGTATAAGTACCTTAAAAAGAAAACAAACAGACAGACAATTAAATCAGAATGACGGACAATAAATGAAAAGAGCTATGGACACAACAGCGTGTGTAACATCAAGCATTACTGAGGCACAAAGAAACATAAATAACCTGATACGTCTTATAGAATCAAAAGCAGAATAATAAAGGGCGGTTAAACATCATCAAAACAGACAACACAGAGATGTAAAGACAACAAAAACACCACAGCAGCTAAAGCCACAAACACAGAGCTGCTCACTGCAAACACGAGAACACAACAACGCCTTGTCAAGCAGAGCTGGCCCACTCCTTTGTGCGGTCAGTACACAATACATACAATAAGTGTGTTGTTGTACTCGCCTGTCTGGAGGGCGATCTCATAGTTAGTGATGGAGGTACACCGTTGGTCGGTTGAGTGTTGGAGTTTCCTCAGTGGCTGGTGCACTCTTGTTTTTACCCTGGAAGGGATGGGACTTAAAACGTAGCTATGTACAATACTTGAGATGAATATAAAATACTAGTAAACCATATTTAAAAAATGTATTTTGTTACATCCAGCCCTGGAAAAGCCTGTCCACATTGTATTGTATTGTATGAGGAACTCACGCTGCACTGTATCTCTGCATCAACAGAACACTATTGCCAAGGAGCTCAAAAGGCCTTTAAGCTGTGCAGTAGATCACTTTAAAATATCCCATATCCATAAAATGTCACGCCGACAAGTGAATAATGTAAGATGAACAGCTTCATTCATTCAATCCCCAAACCCATAAATATTATTTTTTTATTGCCTAGAATAGGCGAAGCCATTTCTGTGAACATAAGACAAAGGACACGATGATTTAAGACCGACAGCATGTCTCTGTTTCCGTAAGGATCAAATATACTCTCAGAAGAATCCTCTCAAATATAATCTCTTGAAAAATGAATAATTATAAAAAGTGGAAGCTAGAAAATGGGAATATTTTCAAATCTGTTAAACTGTTTAAAGGACGGGTACAATTGTTGAAATATGAAATGATGAAATAGTTGAGAGTTGAAAAGCAGCAGATTGGGACCAGCCAGTGAAAGCATTTAAATGAAACTCACACTCAAAGAAGTGTTGAACAGAAAACTACACCTTCAGCACATTTTTGCCGCTTGCTTCTCTTGGAGCTCTTTGCACATCTTGAAAGTGTTTTACGGAATAATAATATTGTTCATTTCTGTGCAACAAGCTGCCAGCGTCTCTCACTGAGCTCACTTCTAAGTATCAACAAACAATCGTGTGCAGTAAAAGTATTTTCTTTAAAAATACAAAATGAATGTAATATCCTCACTTATTGTGATTTATGACTGGGCTGGTTTTACTATTTTCATACTGTTTCCCGTTATAACTAGATAAAACTATTTAGCATTAAATCCGGATTGATTATAATCGTCTCTACTCGGGGCCTTTTAAACACTTTCTAATTTAACTTGACTGCTTCTTGGACAGTTTGTTCTCACAAATACTGCTGACAGGTCAAAGACAATACAGGACAATGCTGGATTATCCACAATGTGAACCTGAAAGACTGAACCTGCCACAACAATACAAATAAATACATAAATAAACAGTCAAGATATGTTTTTTCTTTTATTAGAGATCATTCTCTTTCAATCCATTATAAAATAGCAATTAAAAACTTTTTTTTTTAATTCAGATATTTACATATAAACTATAAGCTGTGCAAAATGTACAAGAAAGTATCATAAATCGGTATTCTTTGTCACGTCTACTGTCTGGAAAATAAGACAAATTCGCCCAATTTGAAGTCTTCAACTGATGAACCTACAAATAGCAAACTTAAATATATACAGTCATAAAATTTGCCGATAAACATTCTCTCATAAAATGACAAAGGTATAAAGACCAATATTAGTATGTGCGCTAAAAATATAAAAATATATAAAGTGTGTATGTTCATCGGATCGACGCGTTTTAGAAAAGTGATCTGTCAAAGTGCAGTCCTCCTCCTGCAAGTCACGCCCACGTTTACCCAACATGGTCCTCCTCCATTATTCATAAATATAAAAATGTGTGGAACCAATAATATCATTTCTCCAACCTCAATTATTTTAAATTCACATTGTAGTCCATGAGCTACACCGCCTGGATACTTTACATTACTAACAACCACAGCTACACTATTCTAGTTCCAATGTGTTTCATCCATTCAGCCACCCAGATCCTTCTTCATGAGAGCCATCACAGTGAACACTTCACTCAAAGCTTCCTCGAACATTACACAAGTTTGCAGCTCTTTGTGTGAAAGGGAACAAATCTCAACGCGTGTGGTGGAGTTTCGCTGTCAACCGGCGAGTCTGCAGAGCTCACAGTGAAAACGATAAAGAGTGGCGAGAGTTCACAAACACGTCATGCGCAACACGTGACATACAAACCGTCGCTTTCTGTTTCCAGTCGAGCCGAGACGAACAGAGGAAGAGCACAACAAAACACCCAAGCACACGTCCTACAAATCTGGAGGGAACTGCCGGAGAGATGAAGCAAACGGAAGCCGATCAACACATTCTAATCCATATGGCTTAATTTGTTAAGAAGGCAACTCAGCAGATGACAAGGCTAGGCAAGATTAGTCTCTGTAAAACAATCCACGGGCATTAGAACTGTAACAAAATATCGTAGAAATGGCTTAAAGGACAATCTCTGTTAGGAACTTCAATAAACAGAGTGTTCACGTTACTGCGGTTTCGTAAAATCTGATTTTCTGCTACATCACGGGTGTCGGTGCACGTGACACTGACAAGGTCTTTGGGTCTGAAAGTGCTCAGTTCAGTTAAAGATGTGTTTCTTGTGTGCAGCATGAGGCAGTGCATGACTGAAGTGTGGTTGGGTGCAACCGGTCTGTAAAGAGCAAAACGTGCGGAGAGGCGCTCTGAAATCAGGGCCGAGTTCAATTATTTGCTCCTCTGAAAAATACAAGACCTGTGCTTGAAGAGGCTTTTAAAAGAAGATGTTCTCCTCAGTGCTGCAGATAATTCTCTTCCCACAGATAGACGTCTCCTCATCCAGCAGCGGGTGATCAAAGAAAATAAAAGTACCGGCAGAAAAGGCTCTGAGCCGACTCCGCTTCCTTAATGCCACTGAGCGAGATGAGTTATTTCAATGCGGGTGCTATTTGAGGAAGCCTTTATAGAGCAGATGAGAGTGACTGGTCCCCCTTTCATTCTCCAGGCAGAAGAGCAGGTCCCTGAGGTTGACTCTGGTGATGCGCTGTCGCATAAACTGTCTGGAGCCTGCTCCGCCGGAGCCGCCGGGCTGAGAGGGGCCCGACCCCGAGCCCTGGGGGCGTAATACGGAGCAAACACAGGAAACACATTTAATCTTTTATTGACCTTTTTTCTTTGCAGATTTGAAATAATTCAAAAACAAGCACAACCCTTTTTATACCAAATGGTTCCATGTTCCTCACCTCTGCACTGGCGCCCCTAACAGGAGAGTCCATTTTACGCTTTCTTCTGGGGCCGATAGCCGCCAGCGCTGTTAGGTTGGCTTCTCTCTGTCTGATCTCAGCCAGCTCCTGCTGCTGCATCTGGAATACGAGGAGCAATAACACACACACACACACACACACACGTAAGTCTAGCAGACGGACTCATCATAAATGCTTCACGAATCACACAGTCACATGTCGTATACTTGCCTCTTTGGCCTTCTGTTTAAGTCTGAGCTGCTCAGGGTCTTCTTGCCGTGACCGAGACTGCGGTAAGGTGAAGGACATTTTAATATTTGAACATGGATATGTTCAATTCATTCAATCCGTTGTTTTATTCATTCACTTGCTCATTGTTATCAGCAGAGGGATACACACTAATGACACTCAGCCAAAGTCACCCTCGCTCCTCTCGTCTATGCAGTTATGAGACTGTTCAGGCTTCTTCCCGTCAGCGATCCTCTTACACACTGTTCATATATTGTTACCTTGGCAGCCTTCAGGAGGATCTCCCTCTCCTGCTCCTCCTTCCTCTGCTTCTCCATCTGATCCAGCTGCTCGAAGAACTTAAGCTGGGATCGCACATCGCTGACCTGCTCGGACCGCTCATCCTCCTGAAGGATGCAGGAAGCAAGACGTTGCAAGTAAGGCAGTGAAAGGTACACTCGGTAAATGTAGGTATGCAGCTATGAGTCTCACCGGCTCTAGAGTTAGATCAATAATCACCTTGAAGGTTGTGTTTTTCTGCTGCGCCACTAGAGACACTTTTTCCATCAGGTTTTGTAGCCGCTGCTGCGTAGCGTGGGAGATGAAGTTGATCACATCGGAGCCCAGCTCGCCGACACCGAACTTCTTACCTTTCACAAGAGAAGAGGCGTCGATTAAGATTTAGAGTCAGCCTTTAAAGGCGAGAAACGTGCCGCACGTTGTTTTTTTTTTTTTTTTTGTTATCTTAAATTCATAAGTCTCACCGATCTCCAGAGCTCTCCGGGTGAGTAAAGAGGCGGAGACGAAGCTCTCGTCCTTACAGGATCGAGTCACCGTGCCAACAAGCTCAGAGTTGGTTGCTAAGATACGGGCACTCTCCTCTGACAAGTTGACTCCTGCCATGGAGGCCACGTCATTGATATCATCGTCATCCCTGAACGAGATCAAAAAGGGACGAGTCAGACATGAACGGTGACACAATTTACATTTATACCAAATCATTTCACAAGTTGTAGTTTGGCTACAGTTAGCTGGAAAAACAAACAAAGAGCTAGAACAACATACATACTGAGATGATTCATCATGCAGCCTATTGACCGGATCTGACCGAACAGCTGCACATGTGAAACCATCAGGTCAATTCATATATGACAGCATAACACACACGTGTCAGCCTCGATGCTTATTATGTTCAGCATTTGATTATTCCCTTCTTTGATGCCCCGCGGTGGTAGTTTGAAAAAGACACCGTGTCAGACAGCAACACACTCTGAACCCAGGAATGTAAAATAGTAACCCGTCATTGATTGGATCAGTTCTACGTGATGCCGATGTGTCTGCATTACTCTGGTAAAAGCTGCTGTTAAAACCTCAGTTCAAACCTCTGTGCTGACACTTTCCAATACATACAAACACACAATGAAGTGCTTTCATCCTAATTATTATTATTTGGTTTTTTTTGGTGAGACAGCTATGAAATACCAACTTGTATCATGAGTCATACATGCTACATGATTCATTCCAAGTCTCATGTTCAAAAGCAACGCAGCGAGACTGATGCCCACTTCTATACCTAGCAGGCTCCACTACTGTAACGCAGGACCTGAGGAAGATCTTACACATCGAAAAGTTGCTTTAAAAAGAGAATAAAGAAAAAATACCTTTTTGGAGCCTAACAGTGTGCAGCAGCAGACCCCTTTGCGGCCTGCAGTTAGGTATTTTTCGTTTTGCACCTGAACATCTTTGCCTGGATGTGCGCACGCCTGGTCCCTCTTCTCCACTATTGACAAAATTCTACTGCAGACTACAACCAACATGAGTGCAAACATTACACCTATTTTAAAGTCCTTACACTGGTTAGTACCCGTTAGTTTTCATATTGAGTTTAAATATAATTACTAGCTCATAAGGCACGACATGGTCGTCCATCAGACTGCCTCTCAGAAATGCTTTTGGTTTAAGAACCAGGATAAACCAAAAACATTTTTATTAACATTTCCTATCTTTTAACATCTAAAGTGTTGTCATTCACATGTAAAGCATTTTGAAGTGCATTTAATTTGTTTGAAATGTGCTAAATAAGTAAAGTTTGAATGATTGATTTATTGACTACAGACATTCATGGACTCTTAATCACTATTTGATGCTCACAAATTCACAGCATAAACCAGTCTATTAGTTACACCTGTAGTTACTCAATCCGATACAATAGCCCTATAATAACTCATATCTATATCTGTAGTTACTATAAGTGACAGCTGTCTGCAAGACAAACTTACCCCGAGGTGACATTTAAGATTTACTCTCTTTGTAAATGCAGATAAATGTTCTCTTTTTGTCGACTGTGACAGAAAAGGTGTAACTGCCATGATATATTGCTCATAAACAGTTATGCTTATGAGGTAATTAATTACGATAATGACTGCCTAAATTAGCAAATGTGTGTGCGTGGTAATCAATTTATCATTAAATAATAAGGTGTAATATGAACAGAAACCAGGACAAGTCCACGGGAGGAAATCCACTGTTCTTAAACACACAATCATTTATTTCACACAAATGACCCAAACACATGTACACTATGACGACTGTGGCTCAGTGGAGAGCAGGGCCGTCCTTCAATCAGAGGATCGGCGGTTCGATCCTCGGCTCGGCTAGTCGCCAGTCGATGTGTCCTTGAGCAAGACACTTAACCCCCAAAAATTGCTCCCGTAGCTGAGCCTACGGTGTATAATGTGATATGATGTCAGTCGCTTTGGATAAAAGCGTCTGCTAAATGACTGTAATGTAATGTGTGGTTCCACACTGGTCAGGTGATGTCACACTGCGCCTGTAATCATGTAAAAGCGGTATTTGCAGTCTTAATGTTGGATTTCCTATTTTTCGTCTTTCATAATCTGTTCATTAACTAATTTCTCCTAGTTTCTAATTTAATTGACTCAATTTTGCATGGTGCATTCTCAACCTGTTTGTTTGATTTCTGCAGGTTTTTCTGTCGCTTTTTTCCCTTCTGAATAATAAACAATGACCGACTAATGCAAATGTGTTTTTCCACATATATGATTGTTATTTTTAATGTTTTTGCTGACATAGTTCCAAGATCAAAATATTCTGTAAATTCTCAACTGCTTTTGAGAATGTCAAATATTGAAACTACGGACCTCTACTACTCCTGCAATGCTGACTATTTGGAGACGACATTTATCTGAATGTGTCACAAACCTGAAGGTTCCTCCTCCCGCCTCCTTCAGCTTGTTCTTCTGAGCAGCAGTGAGAGGAGCCTGAACCACCACTTGCACTCCTTTAGCTCCTGGAGCCAACGCCTGCTTCATCGCTGGATTCAGTAGAGACACACAGAAACAGAAGCAGTTACTGTTGATCATTGCTGAAAAACAATGAATTGTAATTACATTACAAAGAATGCACTGTGGCGGAATCTAAATCCTACTCTTTTTAGAATCAAATTTGTTATTGTGCAGTTTAGTGTTCTGCAATTCCAGACAGTCTCCACAAGGTGCCAGCCCTTCCATACTATGAAGACCAAATATAGGCAGACTAGAGGGAACCAACTGCATATTCAGTTCACCTGAAGAAATAAAAGACATGCAGGTGACTTTTAAACACACACCTGTCGGCAGCTGTTTGACCCCCTGTGGATGTCCCACAATAATGCGGCTATGAGATTGTCCTCTGAGAGTTACCATGGGAGACTGAGCCAGCGTCACCTGTTGCTGGGGCACTATCTGTGCACATTCAGAGACAAAAGAATGAGAAACAGAACAGCAGCAGAGACAAGAATAGAAGCAAAAAAAAGATCCAGTCGGTGCTGAATTACCAGTCCGGGTTTACTGCGAGATGTCTGAGTGAGGCTGATAACTGTGGTTTTGGTCGCGGCAGTGCTGGTGGCCGCAGCGGCGGCGGCGGCGGCGACCGTGGAGTGAGGAGGTCGCAGCACCACAGCGGTGAGGGCCGTGGAGGCTGCTGCAGCAGCTGGAGTGCTGGGCTGAGGCAGCAGGCTCTGCTGGATGAAGGCCTCTGAGTCTGGGGTCATCTGACGCAGTGCTGGGAGACTCCTCTGCAGGCAGACAGAGGACAAGTTGATGAAGTCATTTCCACACAGGATAGATTTGTTGTCACGGCCTATCTCTCTAGGGGGAAAAAGGAAATATGGGCCTATGTCTGTTTCAATACATATGCCCCTCAATAGTAACCATATAGTAAGCTACAGATATTATTAAAAAAGCAGGTGTCGATGCCAATATATCTGCATATACTGATCTCACCTTCAGGAAAGGCACAAGGTACGGCTGTGGTGAGGAGTTGAGCTCCCGGTATAACCTACTGGTAAAATCTTCTGGCTCTATCTTCCCTTCCTGTTGTGCAATAAACACAGAGGATGGATCAGAACCCCCCACTCAAAAAATATTAAGTTAAGAAAACACCCTGAACCAATGACAGAAAAGGTATGAAGATGAGGACAGAGAGATCACGTTTTAAGATGTTGAGAGAGCGAGATGATGATGAAACAGACAGAAACAGAAATAGAGGAGAGAAATGTACCAGCAGATTCTTGACCAGCTCCTTGACGTTGGCCGTAGTCTGAGAGGACTGTTTTCCACTGGATGCCAGCTTGATCAACGTGGACAGAAAGTTCCGACACTTTTTTACATTCTCCAGTGTCTCCTGCAAGCACATACACACAAGTGTCATTTTTCCTTAAACGCACACGTCAGACATACAGCAGAAACGTGAGGCACAACACTAAAAACAACCTTAAAATGAATAATCGTCTGTGCATTTGGTGTTGAAAGATTACAAAAGGCAAAAGCATTCAAGGTTAGTACTTCTCTCTTACAGCTGAGATAGCTGTTGGAGTGACAGGGGTCCCAGCTACCCGCTGTGTAACTGCTGTGGCTGCAGAACCGGGCTGCACTGGAGTGGGCGTTCCCAGCGGCTGTCCCGGGGTAGTGGCCGTCCCTCCCAGCATGATGGTGTTCTGTATGAGTCAGGGAATATGCAGTCATGAGATGAGAGTCAGGAGAGTGACAAGGTCAGAATAACACTTTTGACACGTCCCGGGGCACAGTACGTTCAACTTCCCCCAGGCTTTATTCTTCCAGGAATATGCTAGATAGATGCTAGATATTTAAATGTTTGCAAAGCCGACAATGAAGACCCGTTAATGACGTTCAGCAACAATGTATAGTGGAAAATCCCATGGCAACCTGAGCAACCAGAGGTTTTTAAAGCAAATAAATAAACAGGCCACCCCAAAAACACAGAAATTAAAACAAATCCTAACTGTGAAACAGGTCCTGGGTCTGTTTTTTATCAAGCACTTCAGGGTAGCAGAGTCAGTCCTAACTGGTCCAAAAGGGTTGCTGTACTTTAGGGATAAGCCTTATATTAACTTTATCATTCTAGTTAATGACTCCTACTATCTTCTTCAGGATCTAGGAGAGCTGCAGAGCTGTTCACAGCAGGTGGACAACGATCAGACAAACATGTGCACATTCCAGGAGGAGAGGAAATATGTACGAGTCATTCAAAATAACATTGTATTTAAAAAACTCTCGTCCATAAACTACCATCTGCTCGTTAATATGATCGTGAACATAACTTTCAGATGGCAATGTTATCTGTTGTGGGGCGCTCTGACAGATAGCCTTGTTGTTCATTCTCAACTAAAGGAAAAAGGGAGAATGTTGGAATACATTTCCAGGACAACACTAGATTTTCCAGGATATTTGACTTTTGACAGGAATGAGTGACTGGAAAAAAAAAAAAAAAATGTTTTCCAGGATGCGTGAGAAGAAGCCTGTTCAAACTGGATTCAAACTTCTGACTGATTTAGTTTGTGTCCTGGATAATACAATCTTTTAGAGTACATATTGCTGCCAATCCTAACCGAAGCAAATGTCTTTTAAGCAACACCAGACCACAATGAGTGAAGCAACATTTGTTGACTGACTGTGTGAGGTTAGTGGACGCAAGGAACATTCAAAAGGAGGAAAGGGTCCTTTAGTGAAAAATACACTTCAGGAAAAAGGGGAATAGCTTGAATGATTGGGTTTGGATGAGGTCATGAAGACCGCACTTTATGTCAAGAGTGATGTGGGCAAGAGAGAGTAGGGGGGAGGGGGCAATTATGATGGCCATGCCATTGATGTCATCGTCTCTCTGAGTTACAGGAGGTGCAGAAGTGGCTGTGCATTGGTTTCAGCAGTGGCAGGTAGACGGTTTATCTACCCGCCACAGCGGCTGCTGGGGATCAAGTCTCAGACCCTGTGAAACATCTTTTATGTGGCTAAATTTAACCGAAATTGATCACTCTAAAAGTAAAACATGCATGCGAACAATCAACAGCATGTTTCATACAGAGCCTCACAGAGAACTCTCAATGGTGTTTGGAGCTTGATAACTTAATACACTGCACAGGGACTTAAATGCCCTAAAGGGGGGGGGGGGGATTTGAGTTACCTGCAGTACGGGAGGCCTCTGCAATGTGGTGTTGGCCGTCACGGTGGTCTGGACTGCAGATCCTTGTTTAATAATGGTGGTGGGGGTAACCGGACGAGCCAGCAGCGACGCGCCTGGAGCCTGCAGAACAGCAGCGGACATAAGAGAGGAGGTGTTACACGTATGACACTAAAGGAATAATTAATGATGTGCTACTACTTAATATATTTTAAGTTACATAATTAAAGTCCTTTTGGGCACAATGGGCCTAACGTTACTTGTGACACTGAAACCTGATATATCAGATCCATCCCTATCCGACATGAATGAGTCACATTTTGTGTGCGTGAGCCCGGCGGCCCTGGTACCTGAAGAGAAGTGATCTGGACAGGTGGAGTGCTGGTGGGGCCTGGAGGCCGTGGTGTCATGGCGCTTTGGGACTGCGACTGAGCCTGCATCTGAGCCAAGGTCTGCTGGTGAATCACCAGCAGCTGCCCACTCTCACTGCGGACCAAGACCATGCCTGCAACAGCCAAATGACGTCAGAAGATCAGGGATTTTCTGTCCTGGTCAGACTCACTAATATACTCTGTGTGTGTGTGTGTGTGTGTGGGATGAATTACTCATCTTTAGGCTATTGATGTACGGACATTTCCATAAATAAAAAACATTTCAAGCAGCAACACACAGTGTGTAATTAGATGTCGTGAGCCTCCACAACAACAAAGTAAAACTTATTTTTTCACCACTTTATTGTAGGCTAGTGTATTACTATGCACAGCCTGGTGTTTTTGCTTGCCCATGTTCCATCAAACAGTCTGTGTTATAAGTACTGGGGCTACAGAACGCAGTAATACACCGGCCTTACAGAGACATCGGACGGGAACATTTTAGCAGCAGAACCCTGAACTTTTTGTGTTGAGCTTTAGATACATGTTATTGAATGGTGTGAATACAATGTTGTTGTTTACCTATACCCTGACTTGTAACTTTCTTTCCATATGTTGGGGTTTGCTCTAAATACAGGACTCCAAAGCAGAGCTAATTTCCATGCATTGATATTACTATATTTTAACAATTCATGCAAAAACAACCCCCATTTATTTACTGCTGAGGGTTAAAATCAAAATCTACCTGTGCAAAACCAGAAACACAAGACTAACAATTAGCCTTTGCAAACTGTTTTAAACACACACACCCAGGACATATACTTGGAGCTACATTGTAAATAGCTGTTGATAAGAGAATAGTTTGTTATTGTCTATAACAAGATAAGAAATAAGGATCAATAGTTTGATATACAACATGAACAGGATGACTGCCCTCAAGGCATTTTATCTGGAACCTTGTTCACCTCTAATCTCTTGTTTGTTTGCTTTAAAAAGGCAACGTGCCAAAAAACATTCCCTTGTCTATTCACACAACAGCAGCTGAGAAACATCAACAAATAAAACAACGTTGTTACCTGGAGGGAGCTGGATGTTTTGGATGTTCGGGGCGCTCTGTTGAGGCGCAGCGAGCCGAGGTGCCAACACCTGTGGAGCAATAGCTCGTATTCCAGCGTGAGGAGTGGCGGCGATGGGTGACGGTACCGAAGCCCTCAAGTTCTGCAACACGGTCGGGCTCCTCATGGTCGCCGTCGTCGCGACGTGCGCGCCAGTCTGCATTACGGTTTTTGTGGAGTCGAATTTGTTCACGAGCGAGCCGGACGCTCCGGTAACTCCGACGACTGCCGGCGATGTCAGCACCGTGGTGGGGTTGTCTCCGCTGTTGTGTGAGGCGTTAGTGGCAGTTTGCATAGGTGGCCTCACGAGCGTGACAGTGGGAACAGTTTTCACAGACGAAATCACAGCATTCGGTGAAGTTTGAATAATAGTACTTGGCGTTGCGGATAAAACCGTCGCGCTGCCTTTGCTCACAGAAACAGCTGGTCCGTTGTTGACAAGCGTGACAACGGGCTGCGAGTTGTTGTTGTTGTGGCCGCCTCCTCCGCTGATGTGACAGTTCATCACCACGGCACCTCCATTCAAAGTTTGAACACCAGCCGCTCCGGGTTTCCCAACACCAGACACTACCGTGACGACTCCGCTGGCTGACCCCGGCTTGGACGGACTCTGAGCAGCTGTCACGCTCGATGTGGTCCCGGCTGCTCCGTGCTCCATGCTCGAACCGCGGGACCCCGTACTGTTAATGACACCTCCGTGCACTCCTGCCCTTACAGCGGCGGAAACACATGAAAACAAGGGGTGGGTGAGTTGTCGAACGTGACCAAAATTAGCCAGTGTTAGCTAACCAGAGTGGGCAGCTATCTTACCTGCTTTTGCAAGCTCTTGTTGTGAAAGTCCCATTTTGCTGCCCTGAACATTGGAATTGCCACCTACAGCTGAGTTGCCGACGTGATTTGCTGCAACCTGGAGCTTGGTGGTTGCGTTGACGTGCCTCGCTCCAGTTAGTTCGGACTCCAGAGATCCGACGAGATCACTAACTACTTTTTCGTCCACCTCTGTGTTAAAGAAAACATCATCCAGCAAATCGGAGCCCGCCGCCATCTTTGCCCAGCTGCGCTCGCCCGTGAGACGCATGCGCTGATTGGATGCACCGTCGGTGACGCGGCCTCGCCGGGCGCTGTGATTGGTTCCTTCGAGGAGAATAAATTCCGGGACAAATGGTCACGAGTTGTAGTGCGATGTGCCAACTCCGTCTGACAGCTCCGCTGGAAAACAACGACACCGCTCATAGAGCTGCCTCTGGTGGGACTGTATCACATCGAGGGGGCTCTCAAAGGGAGCATTTGTATCGTACAACACGTCTTTACAGATTCACACACAGTATCGAAGCATTTTGTATCTATTTTACTTCATCGTAGACTACTCAAAATGGCTGCGTTGTTGCTATTATTTTGTTTTTCCAGGAAAACCGCGGCAGCTGCTTCGGGGCTCGCAGACAATGTTAAGCGGTCTGGATGATGTCAAACTATTGAGAGCACAGATCAATATTTACCAGTTTACATAGTTGTTCTGCAGCATTAAGCTCTGGCTTCTCGACACAACAGGAGTGCAGTAAATGTGACACCTTGTTATTGATTGTTATCAAAATAATTATCAGAACAAAAATAGCACACACACACACACCATGCATTATCCAAATATATTGTTACAAATAATCCCAACTGCCAGTTATGCTAAATATCAGACATCATGAGTCATAAAAGAAAACTTCAGCATAGGGACTGAAATTGACGTTAGCAGCCAGGTGCGTTTAAATCTCAATCAGTGGGCGTGGTTTAAAGTCGGCCGTGGTCGCCTATAAAGCGTTTCCGGTCGCTCCGTGGCTTAAATGCTGCCACCTGTGTTTTCGTTGAAATTTGCAAGCGATTGTCCTGAACACTCCAGCCATGAGTTCATCAAAGCCGTACATTGGCTGCAAAATAGGCCTAATTTCAAAAGCTCATAATCGTTATGAGGGGATTTTGTACACAATTGATAAGGTGAACTCCACAGTAGTGCTGGCAAAAGGTGAGTGGTGTGGGCCTATGTTTGGTAGCCTGTCAGCATGTCCAAAAATAATGTTCTCCTGAGTTCTTTTTATTTTTTTGTAGACTTCTTAAGATGACAGCACAATTTATACGCATTTATTTCTTTAACAAGTCAAGTGTTTTGGAACGGAGGGACGACCCACTGACAGACCAACACCACCCAAAGATGATATCTATGAGTACATCACTTTCCGGGGAAGTGATATCAAGGACATCGCACTGTGTGAACCCCAAAGATCTCACCACGGCCTTCCCTCGGATCCTGCAATAGTACAGGTATGCAAAAACTGCATGGCTTGCATCCGGCAGTAGAGAAAACAAAAGAGGACAAAGTATGTGTAGATAATGTGCATTCAATTGTTTTAACTTCTTTTGTTCAGTCAGCCAGTGTAGGCTCTTCAGGTGTGTACTCGGCTCTTGGACCATTTAGCCCCCTAAGGATGCCCGCCTACAACCAGCTTGCTGCCAGCTCTCTGCTTAACCAACAGTATGCGGCAGCTCTTGGCCTCGGTTAGTCAATGAACACAAATGTAGTGTTGGTCAACCATAAACCCACACCCTTAGTGAAGCTGAATACTCTTTAAAGTAGGTTGTTTGCATACTAAAGTCTTTTTTTCTGGTTTGTTGTTGTTTTATCATGCATGGTCTGTACTTCCTGGTTTACAAGTCAAAAGGGGCCCAATGGTGGAAAAGGCTGTTCAAACCCTCCATGTGGAGATGGCTAGGCAGAGCGAAAGCTTGACTGCATCCCAGGAGCGGGCGCAGCAGTGGGAGAGGAGGAGGCCCCAGAGGCCCAGACCAGAGTGTCCCCTGACCAGAAGGGGCACCGGAGTCATCAGTAAGCATACAGAATTGCAGTCATGAAAGTCAACTTAAAATACTATGTTCACTAATATACAGAAAAGAGAGAAGCTCTGCTTGTTTAGCAGTCTTGAAATATTTTACAACTCTGTCCGGGTGGGAGGGGTTCAGGAAATGTCCATCCGTGCAATTGCGAGTGTAAATGTTTTTTAATTTCAAGTGAAGTCCGGCCCCGGTGTACCCAGTGCTCAGCAGGAAACTCGGCAGCAGAATTATGAACACGGGCCACCACCTAGAAGAAGACAAGGTAATTGTGAAATGAGTGAACATTTGAATTTTCTGGATACAATAATCAGGACTTTGTTTAAACATTCAATGCATTTTTTTTTTTTTTTCTTTGTTTAAATTAAACTTAGGAGCTCGGAGGCGCAGAAACCGTAGTAGAGGCCAGCCGATGGTGTCTCACGTTCCATCTGCCATCCTTAAGTTTGACACAGACTTTGATTTTGACTCCTCAAATGCACAGTTTATTAAGGAGGAGCTGGAGCGGGACAGGACGACAGGTCGGTTAATCAACTCAAGTGATCACAAATGCAAGTTATCTGCTTTTTTTGACACTTTTTTTCTTTCTTAAAAGCCCACATGGACAGTTTAAACCTTACTGTGTCATACTATGACATACACTTATTAATACTCGGTGTTGCAGATAATCTGTAAACTGCCGGTATTGACTCAGCAGTAGCAGGACAGACCAGACTCTGGCACCAGAATTTGGTCACAGAAGTGGCTGTGTTGACAGTGTCATGATTTGTTCTGTCTTCAATAAAAGTGTAAAGATTTGTTTCCATTTCGGCAGAGGTCCTTGCTTCATAACCAGAAACACATTTTTAACCAGGAATAGACGTGGGACTTCAAAAGCCAGATTTGCTACTGCTCAGTATGAGATTTGTATTAAGCATGAGTTGATGATGTAATCTGCTTAATTTTCAAGAAACCTTCACTTCTCTTGGTCTTCCGTAGTGTATCCTTCCAGTTTAATTGCAGTGCATGTTTCTGTCTGCAGATGGAAATCATGAGGTGAAAGAGAAGGAGAAATTGCACTCGACTGCAAAGGATGGTCACTTTGGCCCAAAATGCTACTACGACAGAGCAAAGTCTTTCTTTGACAACATCTCGTCCGATAATAAGTTCAGGTAAACTAGTGGCCTTTTATTTATCCTCAAACTGTAAACACTATGTATGTTGAGCTACAGGCTTGGGCTTCTGTCTGTGTCGACCAACGGTTTCAGACTAACGTGGGCAGAGGAGCGGAAGCGCAATCTGGAGACTTTTGGGGTCCCTGGGCGGTTCCTGAGGGGCCAAGGCTTCAGAGGAGGCTACACTGGACGCAGAGGACGGGGCCTTGCTCAGACCGAGTTTCCTTACAGAACCAGGAGTGTAGAGGTCTGAGAAGCACTAAAGCAACACCATCCTCCTGTGATGATGGCTTCCTTATGTGTAACAAATGGGACCGTTGCCCATTATGATGACAGAAGCAGCTCTGTTGTCACATATGTTGTTTGTTCTCCCTGAGGCAGTTTTCCTGCCCCATATTGCCAGGATTCTATTTTTTATTTGTCATTTGGCCCCATTTTAAATATGGATGCGTGCCTCACTAAAAGGTCCACAGTCTGACTAATTGGTTTTTCCTCTTAATGTTGGCCTGAAGTTTTTTTGTTTTGGTTTTACCTTTCAATTATATGGGGAGTGTTTAAGTTTGTTTGCTGGTACTTGGAAGAATTTCACTCCCAAACGTGTATTGGTTTCCTGTTTAAAAAAAAAAAAAAAAAAAAAAAAAATCTGCCTCTCGGAGTACATTTATGCAAATGTTGTAAACTATGAATATTAACCTAAAATTAACTAAAGTTAAATGTATTTAAAGGCTAAATCTTGTGCTTTGATTTGTCTTGTCATATTGAAGTAACAAGTGACCAATGTAAATAAACTGGAAGTTGCTGGTGCACTTGTCTCATGCTCTTTGAGGATGCATCACAATTCTATGCATAAGCGAGCTTTAAACATGTAAACCTTGGGTTGGACCATCCTAATATATGAAATGAAACTAAGTACAGTTAACTATTTGAGGTACTTGTGCTTACTTGAGAAATACCATTCTATGCTACCTACACCCCACTGAAAACTGGTTTCCTGCATCTATATTTTTCACAAGCCAAACATTCTGACACTAAAATGTCATTTCTTTTTTTTAAAGACGGACCAATCCGGAGAAAATAAACTTTCTGTCAAAGCAACACACACTTGCTAGATCTGGCAAATTGTTACAAAGGTGCACAAAATGAACAGGGATGTGATTTAAAAGGGTTAAAAATGCATTGCCACAAAGCTGAAAACGGGTGTACTTTTTTTGTAAAATGTACTTTTAGGCTATAGTGAAGGTTAACTCCACCACTGATATATATATATATATATATGTACTTTAATCTTGGTGTTCTATTAAACTCTTGTCTTTTAATTATAAACTGGTGTTTTTTTGTTCATACTGTAAACTGTCCAATGATATCACAACCAACAAAAATCTTAGATGTGGGTCGCTTGATATGAAAACTGTTCAGACGTCCCAGATTGAGAAATGGACAGATATTGTATCAAATATGAACATGACTGTGGCATCATCATGGAGTGGTCACATTTTTCTCTGAAGGTGCTAAAAAAACAACTTGTAGCCGACAATGTGGACTGATTGGCTTTCATGAATCAAAGGACACCCCGTACAGAGAGGGAAAGTGGTAGGCTACTCACTGTCCGGGTTATACCAAACACTAAGGGAGAGGGATTTACCCCTGTCACGTAACCCGTTTATCATACGTGTCATTATTCTCATGCACATAACAAATAACCCAGCAGAATCGTATGTTAAATTACATTCTGGAGAAATCCAGTGTTTTATTATTTTTCTTCCTTCGTGACAGGAGAGATCTCACCGTAAATACCCCCCCAGTTCCTGGTAATGGACAAACTGTGTAACCAAGTAGAGCGCTGCGCTCGGGATGACAATATTAGAATAAAAGACGCGCTTTTATTTCCCATATGACAAAATGTCGGTGGCGTTTTCATCGGCGCGCCCCAGGAGTAAAGGGGAGGTGACACAACAAACGATTCAAAAGGTAAAAAAAAAAAAAAAAAGAAAAGAGCCTTCATCCACGTCGCGTCGCTTGTTGTGGTGGAAATATTCTGGTCTGGATGGGAGTGTGCGCTGCTCCGCCGCCAGTGCGGAAGAAAGTAGCCTGTGGTGAATGTCAGAAGAAATGGCAACTGGTATTGTAACGTTACAGTCAAGTGTAGGTGCGAACCAAACAAAGCCACCACGGTGATGAAGGCGACCGCTTCACAAAAGGCGCATCACTGTCCGGAGCTGTCTCCCTGTGATGCTGTCAATCTCGCCGCTTTTCCCCGACTCATGACGAACACGTTTATTTGCATGATAACATAAATGTCCTCTTCAGATTGTGTGACTTGTTTCCAACAATTAACAATTTAAAAGCGCAACACTTGAACTTGTTTATTTTTTATTATGAGTTATAGGTGCCATGCAAGCTCCTTGTCACACAGCGTCCCGGCAGGTTTAAACGGTTATTACGGACAGCCGCTTTGTTGCAATAAGCATACAGCTTAAATAAGCATCCACTGAGAAATGCATGGTAGTGTATGATGAAAGGATAACTGAGCAACACAGGAAACCCCTGAACCCTGTACTCCTCACTGCTGCTGCTGTTAGCTTTGACTGAGTGGATGTTTTTTTGGTAAAAATGCAGTAACTGACCCAGAAAGGGGGGTTGAAGATCTGTGAAAATCCAGGACGACACTGCATATTTAAGCGTATCATTTTCCCTGCACTGTGAGTTGAGACACTGAGCTGAAGTTATTTTGTTGTCTCCCAAAGATGCTGGATGAAAATCATCATTTAATACAATCTATAATGGATTACCAAAGCAAAGGCAAGACAGCTGAATGCACACAGTAAGTGCTCTTTTTTCTAATTCCTGGCTGTTGCTTTGTAAATAAGGTAAATGTGAGTAAATAATGTTTAATTTCCCCATTTTTGACAGGTATCAGCAGATCCTGCACAGAAATCTTGTGTACTTGGCCACGATAGCAGATTCAAATCAGAACATGCAGTCACTACTTCCCGCAGTGAGTCCTTGTTTCAGTAACAGTAGCCTAACAAGAAAGATTCACTGTCTTCGTCAGTTTCATTTTGCACCTATTTTGTTTTTTTTTACACATTCATAATAAATCTATTTTGAGAACATAGTTTTGGGGAGACAAAGCTGATTTAATAGAAGTAAAAATTCACTTTTCTTGCAATTTGTCCACTCATAAATCCATAGAACAAACACAAATATTGCAATTTAGGAGAAAATATAGGAGGCAATATATAAAATATAAAATAAGAGCATGAGATCTGAATTGATCAACTGTGTATTTTTACTTTCTAGCCTCCCACTCCCAACACGTCAATGGGCCCTGCAGGGATGGGCCAGAGTGGGGGACACACTCCGAGCAACCTCAATGACAACATGGCACCTGGACTGCCCCCCGCATCAATGATGCAGAGCCAAATGAGCAATGGTGAGAAGGTGCTTTTCACAGATAAACTCTGGCCTGCTCAAACTTTATCTCCCCTCAAAAAAAAAAAGGCGGACTTGATGTGCACACATGCAGCTCCATCTTGTTGTCCGTCCCCTGTCTTGAGTGCTCTTCTAACCCTGACTATGCTGCATGTTTGTCTGCAGATACTGTTTGTCTGTTTATTGCCTGCAAACATCTGATGATCTTATGTTCAGATAATAGTCAGATTTGTTTGCAGCTACTTTCTGTCTCTGGTTCTTTTTTTCTTTTCTTTTTTTACACACGTCATTAACATTCATCACTCAATCCTCGTACAACCATGCAAGCTTCCTGTAAAGATGAACTGAATGTGGGCCCATGATTAACATGATATGGCACCGCATTGGGACCCGGCTGCTCTGACTGTGCGTGTGTGTCGTCAGGCCCCAGCCATGCCCCCATGCAGCAGCATGGTCAGGCGCAGTCGGCTATTCCCTTCGCATCCCTCGGCCTGCAAGCCGGCAGCTACGGTAGCTCGGCCTCAGCCTCCGGCTTCAGCCACGCTGCGCCTTCCTCCCAGGGCACCGGGTCTGGCTATGGCTCTTCCCCCTCCTCCTCTTCCTCCACACCCTCCTCTTCCTCCTCCCGCAGCAACCTCAACATGCAATCCAACCAAGGTGAGCCAGGTATAGAGGAGCCTAATCGCTGGGATATTTGGTCTATTTTTTTCTATGGGAAGGAATTCTTTCAGGCTTATGATGTGAACACGCCAAAACACTTAGGACTTGATTTTCACAAAAGATGCAAGATGTCACATTTGTCTTTATGCTGTTTTTTAAGTATGATGCAAGATTTGTCACTTAGAGGAAGGGGGTGTTAAAAGTAATGCCTTTTAAGTGTTCAGAGCGATTTAGAAACCAGTAAACCAGTTAGATGATGTCTGAAACACCTCGGAATGTCAAACCGCCCCTGGATGTTGCTTAAAACACTTGCTTGGATGCATTTCTGCACTCATCGGTCTGTAAATCCGCTCCAAATCGAAATAAGCAAACACATTCAGTTCATCAAAGAGGCGTCCTGCCTCCTCCCTTCCTCCCTCTGCTCCAGGCTTTACCTATCTCTGACTCCTGACCCTGAGATGCAGCCCTCCTCTCCCTGGATGTCTGCGTGGATCTCTCTGTTTATGCACTGACTTCACTGGCTTTGTTTGCATTTATACTTCAGAGCAGCATCTTGAAAGCATCTCTTCAAAGAGTTTTTTTTTTTTCTTTAAGCGGCCCCTGACTGATGAACCCCCCCCCCCCCACCCCCTTTTCGCTTTTCCCTGTGCCCCAATTGCTGTGTTTATTTGTCAGTTAAATTATGCACATTTCTGCTAGTCTCAGTTCTGAGAATGCGGCGTATGCTGTTGAATGCAAATGCTGCTATGTGCATAGAGTGTGTCCGTGTATATTAATGTATTAGATCTCTCCCCCCATAATCACAACTCCTTCCCAGTCTCCATGATGCATCAACAGTCTGCAACTCCACAATACTCCTCAGCCCAGGTTGGGGGTCAACACTATCAGGGACAGCAGGCCATGGGCATGATGGGTCAGGGCAGCCAAGGAACCAGTATGATGTCTCAGAGACCCATGGGATCCTACCGCTCCGCACAGCAAGGTAGGTGGTGAGACGTCTTCCTGCCAGTCTGGCGTACTGGATGTGTGACTACAGTTTAGAACTGTTTGTCAGGTTTCCGTTAAGCGTGGCTCTGAATGCCAGTCTCACAGCTTCCAGATTGACGGAAATGCTGAGTTCTTTGCGAGTTCGTGCGTGCATGGTTTTAGTTTTTGCCCTCAAAAATGTGTAGTTGAAGCAAATAAAGATATGTCTGTCGTCTTCCAGCAACTTAAAGAGGCAGACTTGAGATGCATCACTCGTGTCACATTGGGTTCCTGTCTCTGTAAATCACTTAACTTGTGCCGTGTCAGCATGGGCCTATTAATAGCTCCGCCCTGTTACGTCTTCTGAAGGGTGTAGACTAGGAACGGTGTGTAAAAAGGATGGGATTCCGGTTTCCAGGGCAACAGACCATGATTGTATGTCCTCGTTCACCCTGCTAGACTATTATCCTTGCATGACTGGGTGAAGTATTTCCAGATGGAACTTTGTTATGGAATTGTTGTGTCCATAGTTGAGCTGCTCGCTCGCCAGCCACTCCCTGATTGGCCGTGAGGCTGTTGCTAGGGCTCCTCTGTCAACCGTGGCTCCTTGGTCACATCGGGAACTATCGGATATGTTCTTATGAAATGGTTTTGCTATTTTTGCAGAAGTTAAGATGACGCTGCTTTATGCTGCAGCTCTTATCCGTTTTCGGAAACGTTAGGGCCAATTGTGGTTCGTAAAAGAGATTAGGCTGTGCCTGCGTGGCTCTTGGGTACATCTTCCAGAGGGTTTTTGTTCTGATGGTTTTCTGAGTTTGTTAGATAAAATTGAAAGGGAAAGGGAGGTATTGGAATCTGGAGTTTCTGCACACCACCACCAAGCAGAGATCAGATTCTCCCTGATAACTGGCTTTCTGTAATCCTCATTTTCTCAAATTACATCTCTTGTAAATTGTCATGGAATTGTTCATTGTAATTGCTCCACTTTAATTCGTGTTTTTTTTGGGTTGGCCCGCAATAGCTTCCTCTCTAATATCCTTTTAACCCATAAAAAATCATCACCAGTGAAATTGTACAGTACATAAGTAAGTTATAAAGACAATTATACTATACTATTCATAATAGCCTCATAAATCGATGATGGCTTCCAAGAAAGCTGTCGATAATAATCTCCGTCTTTCATTATTCTTCATACTCACATATGCACACACACACAAACACACCTTCAGGCTGCCTGAATTGCCCAAATGTCCTGGCACAGCCCCTTTAGTCTCCAGCTCAGCGGCAAATTGGTCCAACCAACTGTTTAACAAATCGTGGTGTCGCCTGTCTTGCAGGATCTGCACAGCAGTACATGGGACAAGACGAGTTCGACGGAGAGCAGTATGGACACACTCAGAGCTCCAGCGAGCCCATAAACCGGCAATATTACCCTGATGGTAATCGTGCACATCCATAAACTTCATACACACCGCTCTCAGACGCACAAAGCCACATTATAGGTCATGGCATTTCCCTTTTAGCACTATCCCACAGGCCTGAGACAGATTTACTGCTGCGCTGAAGCTTCAGCTCGTCCTCCCCGTCTTTGTCTTTTTTTCCCTTGGGAGAGGAAAAGCACTGGAGAATAAAATGTGCATTGGCCTCAACTGTTTCCTCCCAATGTGTCTGTGTCCATACTGTCCCCTGTATATGGTGTGCCGAAATTTCAGATTTCAGAGAGTGCCATAGCAGTGTGTTGAGGAGAGAGCGCAAACTTCCTCCAGGGTGTTTCTTTGTGCTCTGTGCAGAACATTGAAGCGAGAAGTCTTGGAATTGTTGCCTGTGCTTGTCATTTTGTCGTCGCATATCTGTTACGAATGCTATAAATTCAAACTGCAAATAATAATTTATTTTGTGAGTGGGTTTTGCCTTTCTGCAGAAGAGTTTGTGCACGTGTTTAACGGTGTTCTCTACAGGTCACGGGGAGTACTCGTACCAACAGTCTTCATATGGTGAGCAAGGCTACGACAGGTCCTTTGATGAATCTTCACAACATTACTATGAAGGAGGTAGTCGTCATTCATTTTGTAACTTTAAACCATGTGTTTAGATTTACATTTTCCTGCACCCTCACAACCCTCAGTTTGTCTGAATGTGTCCAACCAAAACTATAGTACAGTACTACCTCTTATCATTAATAGCTGACATACCTGTGTGTATATACATATGTACCTCCAGGTAACTCTCAGTACAGTCAGCAGCAGGCCCAGTACCAGCAGGGATCTGGCCAGCAGCAGCCCTTCAGCCAGCAGCAGTACTCCTCTCAACAAGGCTACAGCGGACAGCAACAGGGATACGGTTAGAACGACCCGTTCAACCTACTGTGCACATTGTAACACACATAGGCACATGCACATCAAAGAATTTAACACATTAACTGAATGTGACCGCTCTGCTACAGGTCCTGGCCAGGGTGGATCCGCTCAGTATTCTCAGTATCAGCAGGGTCAAAGCCAACAGTATGGCTCCTACCGCTCCTCCCAGGGAGGCTCTGCAGCGCAGACGCAGAGGCCCTACGCTTATGAACAGGTACATCACAGTAGATCAGATCTCAGATTTCTTTGATTCTCTGAAACTGGCTTTGCAACACAGACCAATACTCATTTAACATATAGGTAAATATGTGTATAATCTATATAACAAATGCTTGTTTTGGATGGAATTTACCTGTCCATTGTTACTGGCTTTAATCCTTTGCTTGCCGCAGCAGGTGCTTCCTACCATGCTTGATGTTTTTCTGATGCTGCTAATCTCTGATTAACCAATTTAATGACGTAGCATGGTGAATATTAGAGCACACACACAAGCCATCGTTTAAGTAGCTTTAGACATAAATATTATACAATCGAAAACATTGTTTCTTGGTTCCTGTATTCTCAAATCCAACTCTTAAATGAGTAAGTATAAAACATCTAGAAAGCAGATACAATGAGGGGGTAACTTGAAATGATACTTTTGTGCTGTTTGTATCAGTAGTAACATCACAATGTATGAAATGCAATCTAAACTCTCAGTGTAAATCATTTTACATTGCAGGGTCAGTATGGAAATTATCAGCAATAAGGTAGCACACCGTTGTCCTGTTGGAAGAAAATGAAAAAGGAACGGTTCAACAGTGACGCGCTGGCTCAGCTGGATTAGAAGATCTGGCTGCTTCAGATTTATCAGCCTCTCATTAATCGCCGTTCTAGCTAAGAATACATAATCAAATGTGATGCTTTCGTCATCTGTTTTGCTCACTGTAGGGCTGTGTAGCTGAAGTTGTTAAGTGCTACTGGCCTCCCTGCTAAAAGTCAGGGTGCTTTAGTAGAATCAAGGCGGTTAATGTAAACGTTCCAAATGGATTAAATAGGGTACTAAGAAGGAGCAGTTAAGTCCGTCAATGAGCCTCAGCAAATTGCCTGTATCCTTCTCTTTCTTTTCTGTCTTCGCCTTTCACTTGTCTTTATCCCATCCGCGGTTTTTAATGTTTATCTTATTTAACAAGCCTCTTTCTTTATTCTTTTTTTGGTGCGCAGAGCGGGCCCGTGGTTTGTGAGGCTGAGGCTATAAAAAGCAAATTAGCCTCAAAGGAAATGTTCCTTGGTATTTATCAAATAGACTAGGTCTGCAGCTCTTGCTCTAACTCCTAGTTGAGACACTGTTCTGTCTCACGATAAGGGAAATAAATGTCATGAAGGTGAAATTGTTGGTCCTTAAACCTGACCTGATCAGGGGGTTTGTCCGTGTTAGTCAAACTGTGATGTGTTGCTGTGTGTTCTAACATGATGTGCTTTCACTCTTTGTGTATGTCTTTCTGAGGTAATAGACACAATAGTTAGCCGACTGATCCGGACTTTAAAGTGTGCGTCACTCGTGGTGGTATTTTTGACATATATTTTCGGCGGTATTGCTCTCCACAGACACTACATTGTTGTGCAGAGTTGGAAGGGAGTCAAACTTCTCTGACGCCAATCAGTAAAGATTTCACATGAAAAACACGTTGCCACTTTGTCTGCACTTTATTTTGCAGTGACAGTGTACATTGTCTGAAATTTTGTATTGTAGTGCAATTCGGGCTGTTTTTAACGAATGATCCTCTGAAAGCCAAAGTAACTCGGGAACACAACCGTAGCATGTCCCGCACCTCCACTTCAATAAGTGCAATACACTCAGTGAGTCAAGTTGAGATTGGTTCTTATGGTGAGTTTAAGCTGTATATCATTATTTGTAGTTTGTTGACACACAATGATGGCAAAGACTAGAGCTGGTTTGTCTAATGCTATTAAATGTTATGTTGCAGGTTTCAACTGACATGTCATATTTTAGAAGGCTATGTTCTGTATTTATGTAACTTATGGACAGACTATGTGAAGTCTTTCAGCGCACACACATAAAGCTTAGTCCATCAATAGTCTTTTTTTTCAGTAAAAACTTGTATCATTATCTTTTGTACTAGATGAACAAAGTAATGTTAAAAATAGGACAAGTGGTGAAGGGGTATAGAAGGTAATTTTGTATCTATCCATATGTGCTTACAAAATGGGTATATATTATGTTGTTTATTGATTTATTTATTGAAAAGAAGTCAGACTACACCTCCGGTCATTTCACTAATCGCTGTTTCTGATTGTTACTGTGGCTGTGAGGCTCCAGCTTTGCAGTATATTCTGTAACTCGACTTATCTCAGAGGGGTAAAATGCTAATAATATTAGTTGAAGGGTTAATAAATAATGGGAGAAACATGGCTGTCAAACAGTCACATAACTATGTACCACTCAACAATGACAATCATGGGCGTCTCTATACTACATTGGATTTGTATCTGTGTATCATTTGACTGTGAACTGAACATGTATGGCAAGTATTTTCTAGTTCTATGTTGGTGTGTGTGTGTGTGTGAGAGAGAGAGAGAGAGAGAGAGAGAGAGAGAGAGAGAGAGAGGTTTGGTGTGCAAAATACAAATATGAATGTTATCTACTTATCTATTGTGAGACTGCATTGCCTGATCTTTTCTGCTGTCTTTTGTTACTGTTTGTTATATTAAAAAATAAACTGACATTCACCTTTTGTATGTCTGCATTTTGGGATTTTATTAAGTAAATTACGTCATAATAATGTTGCTGTTATTATCATCCTACTTAGTATAGTTATAGGATGAACAATGTGCACACAGGTTTTAGTTTTGTCTGTCTTAAGGTCAATTGTGCATCGGTTAGAGCAGTGGTTCCCAAACTTGGGTCCTCCATCGGATAGGATTTTTGCTTTTAGACATTTTATGACAAAAAGTGCATGAAATCCACAAAATAGTCATTCACCCTGTCATTGTGTTAGTTATGGATGGAAATATAGTGAAAATGAATTCCACTGGGTTAGAGGTTGTCAAATTCTGGTAAATTTAGAGAGGTTGTTGCTAATGTGATTTTGTCAAAAATGACTTTTTATAAACCTTTTTGCCCCTGAGAAGTGTTCAAACTTCTAGTGTTATTGTATAAAATAAGATAATCCTTCATTAGTCCCGCAGCAGGGAAATTTACAGGATTACAGCAGCATATAGTATAGTGCAAACAAGACATAGTAAAAAAAAAAACAAGATCAAAACAAGTATTATAAATAACTAATAAACAGTGAAGAATATTAACTAGGTAAAAAAGTAAAAAACCCACAATAACTAAAATATAATTTAAAAAAAAATATTACAGCCTTCGCTCAATTAATTAAATACTTTTAAAAAGTTGGCAGGTTTTCTTTTCGCCCCGTCTGAATCATAACCATGATCTTAACACACACTCCCGCACAGACGGTGGCGGTAGAGGACCAAATTGCAACGGCACCATAATTACCAATCGCATATTAAAACTGTCCCTACACCGGTTCCGTAGGTCTCCTGGGTGCCAGTGCTATGTATTCACGCTGTAGGTAATACATGTGTTACTGGACATGTCTTAACGATTATAAAATCATATCTCTGTCCGTTGAACGTCACAATGTTGGCAACCTTGTCGAGGGTTAAAAGCGCGCGGTGGCTGTCTCCGGACGCACTTTTAGGATACATACTAGCACGAGAGGTAAGAAGGAAAGAGTCGAGTTTGATCAGCTGTTCTTCCATACCGGCGGCGTGGAGGCGGAGGGTCACCGGTGGTTTCAGGGATGTCAGCACTTCCTGTTCGCTGCTCTCTAAGGTCCGAGAAAACCCGAAGAAGAGAGAGCTGTCTGAAAAGAAGCTGGTACGAATTTGAGCGAACGCGTAATTTACGTTGTATATATTTATTCCCCCTCCAGTATAATAATATCTCCAACATGTTTCACTGGATGTATCCCATGGATAATTCTGAAAGAAACCGGTAATACTGGCATATGTATCTGCATCTAAAGTTAGGTAAATTGTCCATTAAGTGATGCCCAAAAACATTATATTGTTGATTATTAATATCCCATAAGAATGTACTACTGTCTAATTAATCTACAGCTGATCTACCAGTGGTGGAAGTTTTGCAGTACACTTAAAGCAATAAAAACTATATAAATTCAATTATTTTCTGAATCCATCCTTTGCCAACCGTGTGATATATTTTTCTGGATTTTGCTCGTAGACCCGTTACTTTGTAGACCACCGCCGTGTGAAGCTGCTGGCTGGGTCAGGCGGTAAAGGGGCCTGCAGCTTTCACAGTGAGCCGCGGAAAGAGTGGGGTGGACCAGACGGAGGCAATGGAGGTGATGGAGGAAGCATCATGATCAAAGGTAAGTCGGGTGTCCGTCAAGCAATGTGTAGTCTGTTTACCATGCATGTTCTACAATCATCCCCCTCCTGCCTTTAGATACCGTTAAAATGCAGGGCTGACCACTCTACTAGCTGGAACGTAAAAAGATTTTAGTCAACAATCATAAACGATTAGGCTTTTTCCCTCACCATGTCAACACAGTCCCTGACAGAGATCGCTCCGTTTGGCATCAGGTCAAAACGAGCTGCCATCATTAATTCCTCATTTACTTGCTTTCAGCGGACAAGTTTGTGAAATCGTTGGCGCAAGTGGTTCCGATTTACAAGGGAGAAGATGGGCAATCGGGGGGAAACAAGAACTGTTATGGCAAGAATGGCGGCCCAACTTGTATTTCCGTGAGTCCATGAATTAGATCACAAATTAATGTAATGTATGAACACTGAGCACGTTTCTACCATAAACCTGCTGCCTAACTTTGATGTTTTTATTTATTCATAAAGGTACCGTTAGGCACCGTCGTGAAGGAAGACGGAGAGACAGTAGTGGACCTTTCTGAGCACGGCCAGGAGTATCTGGCCATATTTGGAGGGGCCGGTGGGAAGGGGAATAGATTCTTTCTTTCCAATGAGAACCGAGCCCCAATGATGGCAACCCCAGGAGTGACGGGCCAGGAGAGGGTCCTTCAGCTAGAGCTCCGCACCATGGCCCATGCTGGCCTGGTGAGGAAACAAGATGCTCGTGTTTGAAATATGCATTGCCATATTGCTTTTCAACCCCAAAAATGGAATGAACTGATTTTTTTTTTTTATTTTTACAAATCGTTATCTTCAGGTGGGGTTTCCTAATGCAGGGAAATCGTCATTGTTGAGAGCCATCTCCAATGCTAGGCCTGCTGTGGCTGCTTACCCTTTTACAACACTCAATCCACACGTAGGAATCGTCAACTACAGGGATCACGAGCAAGTTGCAGGTAGTGGATTTGAAGAAAACCATTGTTTATTTATTATTTAACAAAGGTATTAGAACGTTTTAAAAGGATCTCGCTTTGTTTAATTTGCAGCTTTTTTCCTGTGTAATTTACACGCTCCATTTTTCCCTCTGCTCTGTGTAGTTGCCGACATCCCAGGCATCATTCGAGGGGCCCATCTTAATCGAGGCCTCGGTATCTCTTTTCTGCGTCACATAGAGCGCTGCCCGTTCCTCCTCTATGTTCTGGACCTGTCGACTCCGGAGCCCTGGACCCAGCTTCAGCACCTGCGTTATGAGCTGGACCAGTATGAGCCTGGTCTTTCCCAGAGGCCTCAGGCCATCATAGCCAACAAAATGGACCTACCCGAGGCCCGGGAGAAGATCGAGACTCTGAAGAGCCTCGTCACCCAGCGGGTCATCCCCGTGTCAGCTCTCACGGGTCAGAACACAGAGGAGCTCATCCTCCACCTCAGAGAGCTTTATGACGGCTACCTTCAAGGAGAAGGCAGTGGGGAAGGAAAACCCACTAGGTGGTAGTGAAAACTATTTCCTCTTGCTCAAGTGATATTTGTATTGTGTATATATTTGTAATGGAAGATATAGAATGTATTCAAATTGCTCAATAAATATATAAACAAAACAAAGTTTGTAAGTTTATTAATGGCTTGCAGCATGGTGCTCAATACACTGAAAATACCTGAGATGTCTTGAACCCTTAACAGCTTCATGCTGCACAACAAAGGGGACACGTTACATGTTAAGAGAAGAGGATGCACTTTTAAATGTTAGGATTGACAAATGCCTGTCTAGGGTCAGTCTTTTAAAATGCATAAAAAATACAAATTCAGTCAATGGAAGGATATGTGTGCATAAAGATGGTTTTGAGCAAAAAAAACACATCATTTACACTATTTGGTACTTTTCAGACAAAATTGTCGCAATTCCTAAATGAGCCAGCAGAGTGCGTGTGTCTCATATAATGTTTTTTTTTGCCTTTTAGTCAAAGCTCTGTAGAGTCCAAAAAAAAAATATTGGTGGGCTGCTGCTGGTTAATGACACAATCTGTATCCATGATGCACATACCATTTAACCATTAGTTCATGTTTTAAAATGTAAATACACATTTAGATATATCTAAATGGGAGTGCCATTCACCTTTATGAATGCACAAATCATGAACTGCTGTATGGACAACGAACATGTTGACGTTTCGTTTTTGTGTGATTTCTTGAACCTAAATATAGTATTGAACCTTAATATAATTGCATGGGGTCTTTGCACCATTTATCCATTGTGTGTGTTGTTTACTTGCTGCTGTAGCCAACCTGGAGGAACCAGCTGCGTGCAGACAGGACACTGGGTGGGAGCTGCTGTTCCACCTGGAAACCCTCGTGAAGATAGTCCTGAATTCCTTGCACCAAGCCTGAATATGTCCATGAAACAACATGAACAGATGCATGAAAGAAAGAATATAAAAGCTACCAGCATGTAAAAGCATGTAACATGTATAAGCATGTAACAAATGAGATCAGGCTGAGGGTGACTATAGCATGTGAGAGCTTCCACCTGGTCAGGCCACTGCTGCACAAAGATGACATCAACCCCTTTGCTTCATGAAGGGCTGCTGCACCAGGATCACAGGTTCAGTGTGTACCAGGTGGTCACATTCTGCTGCTCCCTTTGTTTAGAAAGAATGCTACAGCACTCATTTACAGACACAGCTAGAGATCTCCCACCTGGTATGTTCCTCTCCTTAAGGACTCTGTGGGAGACTGTGTGAATATTCTCTCAGGTATTTGCAGCCTCAGTCTACATCAAGATGTTCCTCCTGGGACCCCCCCCCCCCCCCCATCTGCAGAGCCACATGTGTATGCATTACACAGATTACTACACAAGTATCTCTGCCATATGACAGTCCGCACCTTTTCCAGATGGCGATGCAGACGAAAGATAGTCCCATACGATTCCAGCTCCTTTTCGTCAGATTCATAATCATATGCCACACCAACAACTACAAGACGAACACAATTCATTTACATTGAAAATGGAAGATGAACATTTTGAGTAAGAGCGTCTCCATGTCCTCCACCAGGCCTTTGATTAAAAAGACAAAGCAACAAAAACATATGCAGAAACAGAAATAGCATCCCACATACAAGACACAGCCTACTGTGCCAGTTTGTGCCAGTACTGTTGGGTAATTTGATTTGCCAAACTGTTTATGCTGAATATGCAAAATGCATTTCATATGCATTGAAAACATTCTAAGATGTTGAAAATAATAATAATAATTGTGGAATTTATTGTGTTTGCGTCCATTTGTTTTAAGTATAAAGTGCAATATTTTAAATGTTTGTGTTTAAAGTAATCAAAAATGATCAGAATAGATTGCAATTTTTCAGTAACTGACTACATTTCAAAATAGTCTGACCCAAACCTTGACTGCCTTTCACATTTATCTCCAAATCTATATTTTGCGATGCTATCACGGTCACATATGTCAACAGACAGAAAAATAAACATGTTTCAACGCCGCTTCTGTGGTGGTTCACGCTACAGTGGCGTTAGGTGTCTCCAAAGACTCACTATAGCGGCTGCTAAAAAAAAAAAAAGAGTGTGTGTTCACTGACCTGCTGTCTGTTAACTGTTGAGGAGCATCCAGGGAGCCCATATTTCCAAGAAGAGAGCAGCCGACCCACTGTCAACAATACGTTGTCTCAGTTTCCGCATATTCTTTTCTCAGGAGCTGGTAAATCTGATAGTTGAGGTCAATGACTGTCTTGGACAAAAACAAACTACAATGTTGTACGGCCACAATGTGTGCACGTTGGAGAAGATTGCCAGTAACAATAAACGTACTAAGTGGGGCTTTGTTTGTTTTGGAGTTATTCTGCCTACTAGTGGCCACAATGTGATCATGCTGCTATAAATACTATGAAAACACACTTGTTTATGTATTTCTTTCTTTAGGTATGGTAACTGAAATTATTAATAGAGGTGATAATATCATATGCATTATACAGATAAGTACACAAACCCACAACTTTTCCAGATGGTACTCAGACGTAGCTGGTGCCGTATTCAGGCCCATTTCACTCACTCCTAATCCAATCACCTCAAGTTGAGTTATGGAGAGGAGGGAGCAGACTTCATAACTGTAAGCAAGATCATCAAAACAATATAAACATGATGCCAGAACAGCTCTATTAAGTAGCCCACATGGCAGTCATATTAAATGGATGTGCTCTTATTAGTCGTTGTCTAATAGTTTTTACTCTGCCATTTCCTTTAGTGCAGGATTACTGCATAGTGCAACATCTAAATGCAAAGTGTCTATCTTTATGTGGTCCTATTTGAAACAAATTTAGGTTTTACTGAGAACTATACGTGAATATGATTCACATGAGTACAAATAGACTTATAGTACGTGACTTTTAATGGTGGAACATGATACTCTAATTTATAGCCAAATGTCAAGCAACTTCACCTGGTGTCGAAGGCAACAACAGATCATATTTTCACCTTTAAATACACATCGATTAAGGACGGCTGGCAAATTAAATACAACCACTGAGTCATGGTGCTTGTTGGGATCACACCCATCTTTGAACTACGTACCTGTAAAGTGTTTTGACCGCACCGTGATGTTATCATGTTGACATTATCTCACCACAGATAGACAAATAAACACCTAGAAAAGTACTCCAACCAGCCTCTGGTTTGTTTGTCATCCAACAATAACAGGTGTCACTAAGGCTACATTTTTCCATGATGACACGCACACAAACACACACACACACACACTCAGACTCACAAGGTAAAAATAATTACACTTGCCGGTATTGAGGCAGGTTAACATGATCTTTTAAAAAATATAGAATATACAGTAAGGTTCCTTCAAAAAAAAAATATTCAGACATGTGGATATGTACCCACATCGAAGCTCATTCATGTATACACACACACACATACACACACACACACACACACACAGAAACAAAACTGGCTTGACAAGCTGGCAGTGCAGTTACATGGAATTATGATCAGCTGGTTATCAGCAGTGGTTATCATACTTCCTTGGAAGTGCTTTATTCACACACTGACACACCTTCATACTTTTAACACTCACACATGGGGATAGGATTTTTCCCCCTCTGAAAAGAATTGTCAGCATTTCAAGAATGGACTTGTTGTGACTACATGACCAGACGGATAGACGGTACCATGTAGCAACGGTAAAGGCTAAAAGAATGCATGAAAAAAACGTCCTAAAATAAGCCTTAAGATATCCCAAAGAAAACAATGTTCAATTGAATGTTCAAAACACTTTTGCCGTCTACCACGTTGACTGAAAATATCCTGCTTGAAGTTTTGACTTCGAGCAACCGTTGTTACATCCGTGTCTTCATTGTAGACGCAGTGTTTGAAATCCTATCTCCACATACCATGGCCCTGCCCCACACACCCGGTTACATATCCGTGGCATATCATGTGCTGCTGCAAAGAAAAAATGGCCTCGTGATATGGTATAGAGTAAAGTTTTGTGTACATTTAAAAGCAGTTAATTCCATTCTCCACGTCACACATGAAATCCCTTGTTCCCTGCCCAACACCAGAATATTTTTGACCTAAACTTCATCGACTTTCAGTAGGAATGACATTTAACCTGAGACCCACCGCACTTGAGAAAAACAGGTTGAGTAACATGCCGGATGAAATGTTTCTGTCGCTAACAAAGGTCTCCATAGCAGTTCAACTGAACTGTGCAGTTCAACAAACTGGAAGTTTGACAGCTAAGCAAACGTATCCAAATGTATCCAAAGATTAATGCAATTCGCAGCTATTTTTCCCACCAGGTTGCATTGTGAGACATGTTGTCTCCTCTAATATATTACAGATAAAATCAGTGCAGTTTTGATCTACATTCATATTCAACTCTTCCTGTGGGCAGCGCTTCCACTAGGCATGCAGATTGAGGCCAGAGTATTGAAGTTGGAATCCAGGTCCAAGTCCAAGTCTGGGTCAAAGGAAATGTCAGGGATGGAGGAGGCGTCGGGCTCAAAGTCGCTCCTTGTGTCTCCCTCCTCAGCATACACATGAGGAGCGTAATCACCCAGCTCCTCTCCTTGTGCCTCCAGGTTGGACAGCATCTTTAAAATGCAGAGGAGAAAAAGGAGAATGTGTTTTCTAAAGAGAACAAGCATTACCTTAGGTTTGAAAGATTGATTCAACTCGTGTCATTACCATATTTAGTACTTTGGGCAGCATTGTAGAGTTGAATACAGCATTCTCTTGATATGCTGAATATCCACTGTGTCCATTCCAAGTCTGGGAAATCAGAAGCAGATAGAGATCCAACTTAAAATGTCAAAGTTCTATGAATATATTGAAATAAATGAAATAATGGAACATTAAAGGGTTGGTAGTAGTGTAGATGGCAGATACCCCACGCATAGAGTTTCTGTGCGAATTCCTCATTCTCGATGACGTTCCTGTTGACTGGAAAATCAAATAAGGTAGAATTTAAATAACTGCAAATGTCACGGCTGAGTAAAATTCTTGATATTTGCCTTTTTAAACTTCGGCGAGTTACTCACATAAAATAATAATAACAATAATAACAATAAAAACAATAATAACAATTTTAGTACCCAACGAGAAGAGGTCGAACGCCTAAAGTGTCCTTCCAGAATTGAGTTAATTGGCAACTGTGGAAAAAAAATATCACTTTCAAAATCATTTTAAATAGTGTCCTTTTGTCACTCGACAACATAAGCATAAGGTTTGCAATTTATTCCAGAATTTTCTAGCTGTCAACAAATCTAATGAAAAGACCAAAACAAAGAGTGTGTTCGTGTTAAGCCCCAAGTTCATTCATTCCCAATGAAAATGTAAATAAAAAACATTGAAAACTTTTTATTAAAATGAAGGCTAAATCATTTCCTAAAACATTATTCGAGAGTAAATAGTATATATAAAAGATTATTATCTGTGAAGGTTTTGGTGTGTTAAGAGTATTTACAGCAGCAGGACGGTGTCTGCGGGATCAACTCAAAGTACACTATAGGACCCATGATCATTGTTATGTCACTCAGTGCAATGTGATTTATATTTGAGCAACGGTGGAGCTCTTTCAATGGGATTTGTATTTTCCTTTAATCTATGTTGCCAATTTTTACAAAATAAAAATAGAAATCACAACAATAAAAATAATGATAAAAATAATTTCTGTACCTGATTCAAATAGTCCCTTTGGCCTGTTGAGATTTTAGTTTGGGACATTCTACACTCCGTCTGGTCATTTGGCACAAACTGCAAAAAGGCAATTTCAAGTAAAGTCAAGACCATACATTAGTAACTGAAGAACAATAAGTAGTATTTATATGATGCATAACAGATTAAGAAAAGTTTGCTTCATAGGCTTAAATTAATGTGTATTTTCCATCACTTACTGGGAATGCTGGCATTTGGCCGTATCCTTTGTTTAACAGCTCAAATACCTGTTGACAATTTAAATACATCTCTTACGATTTTACAACAAGTCACACCTATATTTATACTTTATAAAAGAAAATATAGGAAAATATATAAAGATGTGAAGAAAGAATATACGAAAGAAAATCACTTTTGACTTTACAGTTAAAAATGATTTAATAAGCGTTAGTAAATTATTATTTAGTGTGAAAAACAAGTGTGTGTGTGTGTGTGTGTGTGTGTGTGTGTGAGTGTGTATTTTGTATTAGACAATGATAACTACATTAAAAGTATTTACTTCGCAGTCAGTTCCCGGGTTCTCAATGTTACTCTTCATCAGATTTTGTTGTGTATCTGTGATTGCGAAGCTCTTTTTCTTACATGACAGCAGCAAAGCCAAAAGTAGCACACCTGTGATAAAAAACACACACAAATCAAACCGTACAGTTTCATGTCTGAAATGAATCCTTTACCTGAGGAAGGATCAACATGTAATAAAAGATTATGTCAGTTTCATTTAGAAGATATAGTGTGAGTCGACTGTGAAAACATTTCAACTTTGAAAAAAAAGACCTCATAATCCTCACACAATATTCACAATTATGAAGATTTGTCCTACCTGCAAGCAGTGGTATTACAAAAAAAGCAGCCCCAATCCCTTCTCCTCCGATTGAGGAGCTTGCTTTACGGAGGCGACAGTTTGGCCTCGCTGGGTCTTTGCAGTTACACACAGTAACCGACAGGTTGTGTGCAGATCTCTGGCCCTGGAGGTCTAACACTTCCAGCAACAACTCATATTGTCCTGAAGGAACTGTGGGGTCTTTCACCAGGTTGACTGAATGCCCTGTACATCCAAAACAAATTGACACATTGTCAAGAATCATTGTGACATACTGTATAAACCAGACTTCAAGGTTCGTTTCTATACTAGCAATGATCTCGGCTACGTTTGTCGGAGCTGGAGTTCACCTTGCAAAGGGTCAAACTTCCACTTGCCCTTCTTCTGATCCAGGAGCCTGAAGGCGAACGGTCCACCGTAGGGCTCTTCATCCAGGTCCACGGCCGTGATGTTGGCCAGCGAGAGTCCATCAGATTGGCACATGTCTATGTTGCTTGCAGCCAGGGATGGGGCATTGTCGTTCTCATCTGTAATAAGGATTTCCAGGGTTCCAGTGCCTGTCAATGCAGGTTGACCTGGTGACCAAAAACACACGTTGTGCACTTTCAGTAATGTGATGAAGAAATTGTGATCAATAACACGTACACTGTGTAAATACTCCTGTAGTTCATACCATTGTTGACAGCAAATATTGGGACCGTATAGACATTGTTTTTCACAAAGACCGACTCCCGGTCAACGATCTTTGTAGTGCTTATTTTCCCAGTCTTGGGGTCCACTGAAACCCAGTCAGCTGGATCGTCTCCCTTTTTGTAACTGAAACACACTCGTGTGGTGTTAGACATTTTCAAGTTCTCTATTAATGTGGAATACTGTTGAGATGTATCTTCATGACTTACACAATTGTGTTGGCACCGGTTTTGTCAGGGTCGCTAGCTGTAAATGTTACCAGATACTTTCCGGCCTCGACATTCTCAACCACCGTAACTTGTTTGTTAGGCAGGTGGAAGATTGGAGGCTCGTTGACATCCTCCACAATCACTGTCACTGTCACGTGGTGGGTGGTCGTACCAACTTTCTCTGTCTCAGTGTTTACTTTCCAGAGACCAGCGTCGCTGCGATCCACCACCTTACAAGAGGAATATGGGATCTCATTCTTCACACTGATAGTCACATTCTGCATGTGACCGTCTTCATAGTCCAGATGCTGAAAAAACGAAAGTGACGCAGAGATATATTGAAATTCATAAGGTTCATCACTGGTAGTCTGCGATCAGTGCAAAAAAACTAAAAGCATATGAATTACCACATTCAAGGAAATACATTTAAGTTTCACTCTCTTTGGCAGCACTACAGTACTGTATATATATGGACAGACTTTTCCTTTTTTAAAGTTCATTAAAAATCAATAATGTTTTTGAGAATTGATACAGTATCGCTAAACATAATATTGCGATACTCAATTGTGAGTCGATATTTTCTTGCAGCCGTATGGTGGTTGCTTTACCATTTTAAAGAAAGGTACAGTGGAGCATAGTTTTTGTGGTTCAAGCCTTCGTGAGAGCAAGAAGCAAATATACTGAGTACTGCATAATATCCGAAGTACACACATCAACAAAGGGCATCTGTGGGGAAGCAGCTTACTCAGGAATCTCCCGAACTCCACTAGGAAGTGTGATTGAGCGCTTTATCAAAAGAGTAGAACATATTCTATCAGTTCTTTATTCGCTAGTGTTTATTCTTTTAAGATACCAAATTGAACTGAGGTTTTAAGAGCGGTGAGTGCTTTAAAAACTAAAAAAAAAGGGTTTTGTGTACTTTTACTAAATCAAATGGACTGTAGCTTGAAAAGAAGACAACATACCTTTTCCACATACAGTAGTCCTTCGTTTGTCTCAGGATCAGTCGTGATTCTGAAGTTCTTGTTTGTGTCTCCTTGAATTTGATACTTGGCTCTCCAGGCCGCTGTTCCTTTGCTGTCTTTGTCCGTAACTTGCAGACGTTTAAGAAGAACATTTTTCTCTCCTTCTTTCACTCTCCCAGAACCCTGGAATAAAAAAATATATGCTTTTTTATTATGAAATGAAACTGTTCAAGTATTTCATTGCCTTCCCCATGAAGAAGTAATGGCTCACTGTTTGTCCTGTTATCACAGGGAGATGGTTATTCCCATCGTTTATATTGACTGTGATGGTGCTGGAGCTGGAGAGCTGTAGTCCCTCTCCACGGCCTTTGGCCTCCACTATAATGGTGTATTTCTCTGCTTTCTGGTCGGTAAAAAAAAAATATCATGAAAAAAATATCATGAAACACATTTGATTTGGCTATATTATTCAAATTTAAGAGATGGAAGTTATGTGATGAACAGATTTGATATTATTGATTAGAGAATTGTGCAATGTGTCCTCTCACCTCATGGTCCAGACACCCTTTAAATGAAATGGTTCCGCTTAGATCGATCTGGGTTATGTCGAACTTCAGATCAGCTGGGTCAGGATGGACTGAGACTATTTCTAAATCAAATAATTGATACTTCTTACTTCTGTCATTATCCATTACCCGAACGGTAATCAGGTCTGTGCCTGTCGGTATCAGAAGAAATTAGTTGTTTTATTTCATGTTATCATTTCATAACAGTTGCAGTAAAGATTAACATGAGAAAAAGAAACAGCAGGTTACCTTGTGATGTTGTCTCATTTATGCTGATCTCCTGCTTGTCATGGTCAAACGTTGGAGTGTTGTCATTGGCGTCGATGATCAATATCTCAATGCCCAGCTCCGTGTCTATGACGTGACTCTCTCTGTCAAGTGCCTGGAACATTAGCTGTCATGCAAATGTGAGATTTGTGAAATAATGAAACCCTCCACTGTGCTTCACACACACACACACACACACACACACACACACACACACACACACACACAGGTCCAGTAATAATGCTGTTTTAGTAAAGTCCTTCAAACCTTTATAACTTGGTACTTCTCAAAGTCGACAGGGCGGTGGACTGTAATCACGCCTGTGAGTCTGTTGATTTGTAATACGCCCTTGGGTTCCTTTTCAACACCTTCACCGTGTATATTGAAAAAGGGGATGTTCTTTTCAATTGTAACCTGTAGGGAGTAGAAACACAAAAGCAACGAATTTTGCAATGATCTTTCTGCATCTTGTCATATGTAGCCTACTACAGATAGATACTCACGTTGCCCAGGACGTATGGGAAAACTCCTTTGTAGCCTTCATCGATACTGAAGGAATCAATGATCCAGTTTCTTTTTTGTCGCTTCAAAACTTCTGAAGATGACGCGTGGACTCCCACAAACTGCAGAAACACATTATTCATGCCAGATTAGGTACATTTAGGAGGTTTTTGTAAGAGTAATTATTCACAAAGACACTTTGTAATTAAACTCAAGTCACTCAACACCTCCTCTAGAGCAGTGCTCGGTGAAAGGGACGAGATCAAGTATATTATCTATAATCTATAACGCTGACAGACAAATCTGGGTCTGCTGCATTGGTTGTCATTATGATTGATTGATATTTCATTTGTACTTTCCAAATTGACTATACTTTAAAGCTGTTCTGACTGTTGACATACACAAAAAAAACCTTTATATTTTCAACCCTTCTGTCCAGAAATACTGACACTTAAGATACATTCTTACCAGCATCAGGAAAAGCCCGAGGTGTGTTGTCTCCATAGTTAATCCAGAATCTAGATCATGTGTTTTTAGAGTCGTTAGTTCCTTAGTTGATAGCTTAGTCCTTGGATGCAGCTGAATGGATGCAGGTTCTGGCTGCAGTGTACCTGTGAGTGGGAGGGCCTGTTATCATAAATGATCTCACTTGAACCTTTATAGGTCTGGCCTGTAGCAGCTGGGTGTGTACAAAATACTGTGTGTGTGTGTGTGTGTGTGTGTGTCTGTGAGCATATAATGTAATGCATATAATGCAGTTTGATCTGTAAGAGTAATATTAACTCAATAGATAAAACATTGAGAAAGACATATGATTAAGCACAGATAAAATATATGATAAAATGCAGTATATAGTATGACAATGTATTGTATATGTTGTGTTCCCCCCCCCCCCCAAGGACCGTTTCATCACAATAGGAAAAACAGGACAGAGCAGTTATGTTCTGACCAACCGGAACTTTGTCATTGTGAAAATAATTGGGATGATTTTACAACAATGACATGAACACTTTGGGTCTCCACAAGCCCCTAAAATATTAGAAAGCTTGTAAACAGCCTCAATGTACTGTAGATGAAACACCGTACAGGCTCAGACTCCGTGTTTACGAAGTAGACTACTTTTGTAGTTTTTCTTGTTCTTTTGTTGACATGTTAAATTAAGGAGGGTATTTCAGCTGTCCTTTTGTTGTACTGCAGTTGTTTTACTGTGTGTAGTAGTGGAGGTTAGCTTTGTATTTTAGAAATAAAAAACATACCTTATTCCATGTTTTAATAGTTTGGCTCATCACTCTCTCTAGACATAGAAGGAAGCTGTAATGTAATTTTATGAGGATGGGGATTAAATATAACGTTAAAGGTCAGATTACAATCTACTAATGTCATTTCAGCCCAAAAGTGTTATAACAAGGCCTTTTATTCTTGCTTATTCATCAATTTCTGCATTGATGAAGATTCAATCAAACCTTTGTTTCTGTCAACTTTGACTTTTAATTATTTCACAGCATCAACCTTAATATGTTGGTGTTATTTCCAGTTGATCAACACAATGCAATTCATTGTCTATATCTATAATATACATAGAAATTATATTGTGTTGTCTGTGCTCATTGTCATTGCACAGGAAGTATGCTGGATGACTCTTTGGTGAGTATTTCCAAAGAATAAAACATCCGTCAGTTACTGGATTTGCTAGTTTTACAGAGGAAGGATTCACTCCACCTTTGATGTGTTCCATTACGCAACTGTTAACCACATCACAGCACAGACCTTAATTACACTGTGGTCTAATATGTTGCTATTATTTATTAGGAGATATATTAGATCACCTAGGGCCAGTAGACTTGGCACAGTCTAATGTAAGATACTTCCGTAACATGGGAACATTAATCTACAAAGATGAAATCAGGCTCATTAAGCTCAATATTGCACCATTGAGACGGTTTTTATCATACTGAGCCATTGTTTTGACAACTGCAGAAAATCAAGGAGAGCAGAGCACGGCACATCAATCACAGCAAAGCGGCAATGAAGACAGAACGGAATTGCGGATGAAGCGCTCCAGAAGCGAGTCCATCCCCATAGACCCCCATGTTAAAATGCAGACCTTCACAGCAGAAATAAACATGTTTACAGCCTGATACAAGAAAACGGTTTTGGTCTCTGAAGCTAATATCCCCATTCATAACAACTGTGCGGCGGGTGAATTTTAAATTAACTCACCCGCTTGAATCATATTGAGGCTTAAATTTGTGTATAATTAAGGGAATGGCCGCTTTAAGTGACAGGGGTTTGCCCTCGCAGCCGCTAGCTGTCTGCTAGGCGTCACCTTGGCTAATTCGAGTCACTGGACTTAACCTCGGCTCCGTCTTTGTGGTGACGGTGCCTTTTGGAGAATTCTTCATGCAAATATCGGACAAATAATAAGGCCGATGTGTGGGCTTTCATGCAAGGATTCTGGCAAGAAGAAAGGAGGACGCGTGTGCTTTATGGTGAATAACTTTAATGCTAATGCACAAAGTCAACGAGCTGAGGGGATCGCACTTCAATCCTGGATTGTTAGCCTTAGCTAGCTTGGTAGCTTTGAGATAGTTTTGCCCTTTTTTTGGGATTAAACTGTGTTGTCTCGGCTAAGATGGCGACGGCTGGAGCCGCCCACTTTGAGCTTCACTTTGGCTCTTCAGAAACCTGTGGGTTCGAGGAGACTATGGCCATGTTTTGTACAGTCTAAGGTTCCAGCCAGCATCTTACTAAGCACTGTAGGATATTGTTTGTGCAAGGCAGATCCGAAACCCTTTGCCTGCAGCCTCGATGGTAATTCTTCTCTAGAAAAAAGGCAGGAACTATGACCGAACAACACCCTGCGTGGGTGATTCAAAACCAGTATTTGCTACATCAATACCAAAGAAAACTGAATGTGGACTTTAGGTTTCTTGGAATTACTTCCATGCCTCCTTGTGTCTTTTGGTTTTCATCAGACTTTATAATGTGTTTTGTTGTTTGGCGCTTATATATTTCGTATTTCCTGCTACCAGTATTTTCAATGTCTTATTGTGTTTCTATTGTGTAATTATGTTTTTATGTTTTTTGTGTTTTTATGCTGTTTTGCTGCAGAAAATATTTTCCAAAATCCTGTATAGTGCCAGGGATGTCCTTTGTTACTGAGTTATGCGTGCGAGGTCAGGTTGTCAGATTTTTATATTGATGACACCTTAACTGCATCTGGCATATATTTGATACAGTTATGTAGATTAATCAAAACTTCTGCTAAAAGACTGAAGGGCATTTACAATAACTATCAGCAACAGTTTACAAATTAAACTTATTATTATTATAAGATTGTTTTTGGCAGCCAAACAACCATCATGTAGTACATGTACCAACACTGTAGACAGCCGCTGTCATTGGCGTTGACAAGGAAATTGCCTGAAAACTTAGAAAATGAAGTTTATACTACTTTGCTAAAAAAAATAAAAGATCAAATTGACAAAGTGCATGTGATGTGATAATATAAAAGACTCTAATGCAAAAAAGTCACATACCAGCAAAAAATGCAACTTAATTTAATTTGTTTAAAATAAAACTGTCCACTTGTTCACAAGTCATAAACATATTTACTTGCACCTTTTCAGATCGTTTGACCAACTTTGAGCATTCGTCCTGTTACTTGTCAGGTTTGTAACATCTGACTGTAGAGTGTAGATTACTGAAATTAGGGAAATAAACCGATTCAGTCTTTACTACCCTCGCTTGGCCTTACAGTCACTGTATATGTGGATTAAAAAAATAAAAACAAACTGGAACCAGGTAGCACTCAGGAAAGACAATTATTAGTCACGTGCTTTATGTTCTGATAGTAGATACAGTATATCATAATAAATCTGGTAAGGTTGTTTTTCAAAACCTCTGTCGTCCTGTAAAGAATAGACAGAAACAAAAAAGACAAACATTCAAACAAATGGGACCGGAGAAAAAGCCTCCTGCTTGTACTCGGTATCTGTGCAATACAGACTGGGAAACAGTCGTTGCTCATGGAGCGTTAACACAAATGTGGTGGCGCCTCCTTGTGGATTTAGGAGGTTGTGTGAAGACTTTCTACAAAACACACCTATCAGAGCAACGTGATAAAACATTCGTCAAGAAAAACACGACAAAAAAGGCAACTTGTGTAATCACAGCTGCAGTCACTCTGCTCTGCCCTCCGCGGCTTCTGACTGTATCTCTTTGGTGCTGCGTGCCCTGCGAGTGTTAGCGTTCATCTGTAGAGGATATACAGCCAGGTTAGGGCAGCAACAGGCCCTGCCTAATACCAACTACAGGTTCTTAAATTATATTGCTGGTGAAAAAAAAAGTCACATATCAGCAACAAATGCCACTTAATTTAGTTTTTAAATGTGTCCTCTTGTTCATGAATCATACATAAACCAAAAGAAAGAAAGAAATGACTTGCACCTTCAACTTGAGCATTCGTCCCGTCTTACTTGTCAGGTTTGTAACATCAGGCTTGTGCAATCTTAACAACTTGCTGAAGAAGATGACGCTGTCACCGTGACGTCACCCATTGGTTTGTGGTCTTGACGTTTTGAAGCAACCAGCGGTGACACGAGCGGTTGGAGCTAAGTACAACGCTAAATAAGACATTTTTATACAACCAGAATGTTACAAATAACTTTCATGAATGTTAAACGCATGAAATGTGAAATGGTTAAAGTTGTAAAACAAAAACAGAGACAACTCCCAGACCGGACAACACAGAGCTAGCAACCTGTCAACAACGAGGTAGCCACGCCCTACAGCATACCTCATCTACTTTACACTAAATGGACTAAATGAACATCATGCTGTTTTGAAGATGACTTGAAACTAGCGATTGAGACCATAAACTCATCTTCACAATGTTTACTGAGGTAATAAATCAACTGGGAAGGAGGGTCATTTTCTCACAGTCTTCTATACAATCAGACTTCTTTTTGCAACCAGAGGAGTCGGCCCCTGATGGCCAGTAGAGAGAATGTAAAACACTTCAGCATTGGCTTCACTTTTCTGACCCTGAGGTTTGGCGCCTGGTTCAATTACAGCAGAGAAGCCACAGTAGCATAAAAATAAAAACACACTTTCCATGAATGGCACATTTTTTTTGTAGTTTCAGTAGTTAACTACAAAAAAAAGACACAAAAGTAAATTAACTACTTGAATAGTATAAATGTAGATGAACTATCAGCAAGCAACTGCAAAAGTATAGTGAACTATTAGTTTAATTAGATTACTACTTCCAAACATCGGTTGTAACTACTGAAACAGTATGTTTTTTTGTATATTTTTATTATAGTTATTTTAATAGTAAAAAGTAAAAAGATTTCACCCCAAAAGGTTGCTACTAGCACATCCTTTAGTGATGGCCAATTTCCTCCCAAATACAGCATTTCAAAGAATGCATGTTTCAGACAGCAGATGCAAAAAATGCATACAAGAAAACAAAGCAAGTAATGGACTATGTATTGTTGCAAGATACACAGTATAAACTCCGCACCACTGTATCAGCAGGCCACAGACATGGTACCTCAGTTTATAGGAACAATACCACTGGCCAATTACTGATTAACAGGACTCATACCAACTGATTTCTGCTGGTCTTTATTAACAAAAGGGTTCTCTTTCCAGTTTCCACAGATAAACATACAGTTAAAAGCATAAAAATATTTTAAAAAAAATAGTGCTATGACACAACCTACAGCACTGACACGCAATCATTCCTAAAGCAGCAAAGTAAAAAAAACAAGCAAACACACCCTCTTTCTGTTAAAGCCCAACATTTCAAAATCACCAAAGCATGACAGTTTGTTCAGTGCATTAATCTCCTCTTCAAGCGGGTAAAACACAGCGACTACCACATAATCCTTGTTTCATGGGTTGATGCTAATATACAAACATCTGACTCTAAATATGTGGGATGTTTAAGTCCGAAATGCCAGAGTACAGAATCCAACCATTGTGGTGCATCTTTTCTCCAAAGATCTAGTCAGATCAGTCCATAATCACGATCTAAAACTTGAGTCGAAGAGCAACTTTCCTGGTCAAAAAATCTCAGTCCAGCAGTGGCCTTTAAAGCTGTATTTATTTTTTTTGAACTGTCCGGTGACAGATGCCTCCCAAGGTCTTAAACTTTGGCCCCAAATCATTCAGAAACATCAAATCATCCCCCAGGTTGCTGAGTGACAGCTTATCCAACGACTCGCATCTGCTGCCCTGTCCCTCGTAGGCATACGCGTAGGGTTGGTACTCTGGCCGGCCTACATCGGTTCCATCAATCTGTTGCATTCTCTGTGGGATTGAGGAATCATAAAAAGATTTCTGGGTCATTTTGTCAAAAACATACATCAAAAATACATATATTAAGACATTCAGTCTGGAAGTATACTTTCATATTCATGGGACTTAAAGTGACTACGAGGAACTTTCATTTTGTGTTGATTCTGGCAGTCCCTGTGAACATCCCTGTGTCATTTTACTGCAGAATGTTTTCCCTGCACAGTCCTGGTTCTGCCGTGCCTCCCTTCCCCCCCAGCGGGCCCAGCAATACAGCATGTGTCTCCAGCAGCGCGGCGTCGTTGTTGGCTATACCAGCAGGGACCGGATGAGCAGCGAGGCGATGCTGTCTAAGGTGGCAGTGAAGCCGGATCTGTATTTGTCCGTGGTCAGCTGGTCGCTGCTGGAGCAGTTTCTGGTGAACCTGCATGACTTCATCTGATTTTGATCGGTGGCACCGATGACTGTTTATCAAGACTAACTTCATAGAAATAGCCAATCTTCTCGCTGATGGTCATGTTTACTTATGCAAATCATACAGAGGCAACAGTGCTAAATTGAGACCAGTTAAGGTTCCTCGCAGTAACTTTCTACTTATTTCATTGCTTAAAGCAGATTTAAACAAACTTATTGTGATTTTGTTTTCATCCATGTTACAAACTGTATATGAGCGTTGCTGAAGTTTAAAGCAGATGCAATGTGCCGGTCTTACTACGGTGTCCAAAGACACTTCAACATGTGGCTCTCTTACCTTCTCGATATGGTCTGAAATGTGTTGAGTTGACCGCAGGCTTACAGAGTGGTTGCATCTCGAAGAGCCTCCCTGTTCAGAGAGAGGAGGTTATAATGTGTAACCATAGGTAAACATATAATGTACATGTACTAGCTTCCTACTTCTTAATTGAAATACTGTATAAGCATTAGAAAGTGTTTACAGTGCAGTCAAAGATGTTTATATTTGACCTACTTATTAAAATATACTAATTCAATGAAGACCACTATTTACCTGATGGGTGTTCATCTTGTTTGAAGCCCATGTAGCGTACTGAAATTAAGGAAATAAACAGATTCAGTCTTCACTACCCTCACTTGATCCTCACTTACAGTCACTGTATTTGTGGATTTAAAAAAACAAAAACCAAACAGATACAGTATATCATAAGAAATCTGGTAAGGTTGTTTTTCAAAACCTCAGAAACAAAAAAAGACAAACATTCAAACAAATGGGACCACATAAAAAGCCTCCTGCTCGTACTCCGTCGGGGGTATCTGTGCAATACGGACTGTGGGAAACAGTCGTTGCTCATGGAGCGTTAAAACATTACATTACAGTCATTTAGCAGACGCTTTTATCCAAAGCGACTTAGAATTCAGATTCTATCACACCGTATAGGCACAGCTACGGGAGCAATTTTGGGGTTAAGTGTCTTGCTCAAGGACACATCAACATGTGACTAGCAGAGCCAAAGCCGGGGATCAAACCGCCGATCTTCTGATTGAAAAATGGCCCTGCTCTCCACTTAGCCACGGTCGCCCCAAAAAACAAATCCGGTAGCGCCTCCTTGTGGATTTCAGGAGGTTGTGTGCAGCCTTTCTACAAAACACACCTATCAGAGCAACGCGATAAAACATTTGTAAAGGAAAACTTTTTTAATCACAGCTGCAGTCACTCACTATGTCCTGCTTCTGACTGTGGCTTCTGACCGTGTCTCTTTGGTGCTGCATGCCCTGCGAGTTCATGTTAGAGTTCATCTGTAGAGGACATACAGCCAGGTTAGGACAGCAACAGGCCCTGCCTAATACCAATTACAGGTTTGTAAGTCCTATCCGCACCCACCACAGTAAGCTACTTTATTGTTTGGAAATCAGCCTTCAAACTAGTCCAGCCAGCTGCTGTAAACATGACTCTAAATCGTCGTAACTCTTTGTCTTGTAGAATTGCAAACACACAAAGGAGTCTATTTATCGTCCTGGTACTCACCATGCCGAGCGCTGGGCTGTTGTACGTATACCTGTCCTGGGTCATTACTGGAGCCATCTTGGTCTCCTAGGTGAGAGATGCAAAAATAATAAAGAAACCTTGCAAGCAGAGGCGAGTAAAAATCTCATTCTATTTTTGTTTGTTTTTTAAACAGTATGTAACAAAGCATTGTGTTTGATTAGGGAAATCTAGCCACAAGATCAACACTTGGAAAATAAAACTTGTAGGTTCATGAATCATATGAATCAATTCTTAATTGCTGAAATTTTATCAAGACATTACATCAATCAACTCCTGACACCGTTATACAGTATGTCTGCTGGTGCACAACCAAACTTTATGTCACATTCAAACTATGATAATGCTTTGCGGCTAACTGCAGTAAATGTGATATGTGCCTTCACAATAGCTCAGGTAATACCCTTTTGCAAACTACTCCAGGCAATACAAGATGTCTTCTTTGTATGGTAGTACTGCTTAAAGCCAACCTCTGAGCTACTTGTTACACAACGCTGTGCAAACCCTGCAATTTATGTCGTAAATATGTCACATACCTGTCTATCTGTCGTCACTTCGGTTAGACAAAAAAAAGTACCGAAGTAACTGGATTATAGCTGTCATTAACTTTTCAGCAATATGCTGTTTGTTTTTCTCTTGAGTGCCTTCAGACTCTTGCCTTTTGACACACCCTTTTGTCATTTGCGCCCATACTGACACACCTGAAGCCTGAGAAAAAGTCAACCACAAAACAAGGGGGAGTGAGAGGCCGAGGGGGGAGAGGAGGAGTACCTGCATGGTGCCCATTTTTAGGCCATCTGTCACAGATGGCCTGTTTGTAGGAGTCAGGAGCAGAACGGGCTCACTCTGCAGAGAAGAGAGAGAAAGAACAAATAGATCCCAGAAATGGGTGTGACTGGTTGATTAAGATACTGTCACTGTTTTACTCCCTGTAATTTGCTCACACACAACACAACCCACCATGCTTGCAGACCCCCCTCCTTCTTGGTTGTACTTGATGAGGGTCTGGTTGCCCTCATCCTGCACCGTGGCTATTTTCTGGAAATCCTTCCCTCCACACTGACACTTAAAGATGAGGAGCAGCACTGCAGACACACATTAAAATGATACTGTTAAAAAACGTGTACACACTGTTTTTTGAGACGACACATAAGTGCCAAGTCGACCTAAATGAACCGCTAAGATAAAGCTGGGGGGGGAGGGGGGGGACAGTAAAAGATCAGCTTTTGCTCCTCCCTCATTACCACCATGAGCAACATCCTTAACCACCCCCCAAACTGCTGCGGTGAAACTGCTTATATCAACAGACGAGACTGTGGTCATGCTGGAGAGCCTCCAGGTGCGAATGGGTGTAAATGTTTGATTGTGGTCAGGGCGTCCCTGAAACTTCCTCGACCAAATAAAGGTTGTTAAAAAAAAATGTACCGCTTGAAATGATAGGTGTAGTTACATTCACATCAACACAAGAGCAGCATAAATTAAGTCATAACTTGTTTAACGCCTGCACACCAACTCCAATTCACACATTTTGTTTAACCATTAGGTAAAAAATTGCGAGGACAGAATTCAATTTGATCTTAAGATTATAAAAAGAAATGTCTTGTAATGGTTGAATCGAGCTATTTGATTGGTTTGTTATAAATAGTGAATCCTCGCCCATCTATTAGTTAACTGACAGTCGCGCCATTCCCTCACTTTCTCCCCGTTCTAGTCTATCTGTCGAGTCTATCGTAAAGGCAAAATAGCCCAAAATTAAAAAAACATTCTCGACCAATTTTAGTTCCTCAGAGAAGTTGATTTGCATTTTGACCATGAACTTTATGAGTTTGTAAATGTTGCCAATGATTACCATACTCACGCAACAATAAGAGGAGTCCCAAAAAGAGAAGTCCAATGCCCGCTGGCCCAAGGCTGGATGAAGGCGGCTTTTTGCCGAGGCAAACATCTCCCTCTCCACACTCACACACCATCACTTCCACGGTGTGAAGTCCAATCGAGCTCTGCTGGTCCTTAATGATCAGTGGCACTGAGTACTTATCAAAAGGAAGTGTCCCCAGGCTAACGAGCCCAGCTTCCTGACCTGGTGAAGGGTGTAAAGAGAGGTGTGTAGTGTCACTTCAATTTTAAGAATTATGTTTGTGTAGTCATGAGGGTTCACAGATATGTACTGACCAAAGGTAGGGTCTAGTTTCCATCGCTCCGTCACAGCTTTGTCATCACCACCCAGGGAGAAAGTGAAGGGCCCACTGAAAGGATTGATATCTGCATCCGTGGCAGGCACCATGACCTTGTTGTCCTTGTTTCCACACAAAATCATGTCCTTGTTGAGCAGGCGTGGTTTGTTGTCATTGATATCCCGTAGGTAGACCAGAACAGTGCTTGTACCTGTTTCTGAAGGGTCACCTGTGTAGCCACAGCAAAGCCAACAAAAACAACCACTTAATTAATCCAAGCATTAAGTTTACCAGTGGAACACATCATCATGGTGAATAACCAGTAGGGCTCCTTTATACCATCATCTATGGCTCCGATGACGATTTTGTAAGCGCTATCGTCATTGACAAAAGGTGACTCTCTGTCCATCTTCTTAATTGTTGTGAGTTTTCCTGTTTTCTCATCTATTTTCACCCAGCCAGCTGATTCTTCTAACAGCACATGCCTGATCACAGAAGGAAAAGGGGAACAGGAGCAGAACATGTTATTTAAAAGCATTAATTGCAGCTATATTGGCAACCACCTGAAAAATCCAGCACGTGTCGGCCTCTATTCACAATGTGCCAAGGAATCATAATTCAGTATGTAGACACCAACCTGATAAGGGTTACATTGGAGTCGGCGTCGTAAACCTTCGGAGTCAACAGCACCTTTCCTGGCTCCTCCTCCTCTATCCTGTACAACTTATACACATTTTTCTCGTAGTGAGGTGGGTCATTGATATCAATCACTTTCATTTTGATCTTGACTGTATTTGGAGTTGGAGGTGTGTCTGTGCCACAAACAAACAAGGCCTCCTCATTCTCCACTCTGACCACCAGGTCAGTGTAAGTTATCTTCTCAAAGTCCTTGTCCTGAAAAGAAACACGCAAGTTTAGGTTGCTGTTTATATTTTGTACTTTTAGCTTGGCCCACTGTCGACAATTGAAGCAGAATTACCTTGATGACACTCAGAATACCCTCATTAGTGATGGGGTCAGTTTCAAGTTTGTAGTTTCCTCCCTCATTCCCTTTAACGAAGAAGTATTTGGCACGCCAACCGGGAGTTTTGGGAGTGTCTTTGTCGTCTACCGCAATTCTCAAAACATTGTCCTTGGTGATTCCTTCCTTCACCTCACCTTTGTACTGGACAGGCAGAACAGTTTCATATTTAACATCAAACATTCTAAAAAGCAACTTCATTAATGATAATAATTAAAAAAAAAAATCAGTGCCTCCTCCTTCTTGAACGTCGGCAGATGAGTGTTTCTGTCAATAATGTTGAGAGTAACAGTGGCAGTGGAGGAGAGGGGCGGTGTTCCATGATCTCTTGCTTGAACAATAACTTCATACTTCTTTACTTTCTGAAACATATATAAAAGATGATATTTTAGATTAACAAATCAGTATATGTGTGTGTGTGTGTGTTTCCATGTACATACAGCTGCCCACTGATGTAGGTATCATGTAAGTAAGTCTCACATCATAGTTAAAACATCCTTTAAAGGAGAGCTGGGCTATGCTGGGAGACAACTCGACCAATTCAATCTTGGGCTCTTGCGGGTTCTGTGAAACCATACTGATGGTGAATGCAGAGTTGGGCGTCTTCTTCTTATCTCTGTCCGTGACATTCAGCGGCAACAGAGGGCTCCCTTCAAGAAGTAAGGAAGCAAAAGTGGTTGAATGTGTTTTAGAAGTGACTACAGGCAGATGATATGCGCACTCTATGAGTCATTTGTGCTACTCACCTTCTGCAATATTTTCCTCCACATCGGCTTGCAAGTTAGGTTCGAACATTGGTGCGTTGTCATTGATGTCATTTACTTCTACATTGAAAGATAGTTCTTTGTCTATTATTTCGCCCTTCTGTTTGCTTAAGATATCAAACCGGATCTGTGGGTAAAGGGACACATGTGAAAATTATTTTGAATGGTTAGGAATCTGCATAAAATGTATTAATCATCATAGGGATTGGTAGCTCACATGGTAGATTTCGTGTTCCTCTCTGTCGACAGATTTGTGGGCATAGACGACTCCGGTGTCTTCGTTGATGGAGAACACTCCGAAAGGCTCCTTATCCACACCCATCCCACTTATTTTGTACTTTTCCCCCGAAAAATGCGTCTGGTCATTATACATCTGGGGTCAAGACAAAAACCATGGAGCTGTTACTGTTTGCTTCATTTCGCCCAGCCAGGATATTGATTGGTTATTTAATTTACTAACTGATGTCCTCACCTTCGAAAGTTCCTTCGGGAAAGGCCCAGAATCTTCTTCGTCGATTTCAATTGTAGACAAAACCCATCTTCTTTTGGAACGCACCAAAAGCTCCTGTTGAAACCAGCATGTATATCAAACATAAAATTGTTAAATTTTCTGTTGGAAGGAAAACATTTTGGCAGGAGTTTGGATTTCCAAACATGAGGAAGTTACCCGCTTTGCACGCCCGATGTGTTGGCCGCGGTGAGACTCTGCCAGGGCTGTTAATGCAACCTACAACAGAAAAAGGGGATAATAAAACACCCATGACAGGTACCTCATGTCACGCTTTATTCACTACTCGTTTACTCTAATTTTTTAGACTCTGGGAGGGAACCAGTGCGGCCAGCCAATTTCCCACAGTTTGCCTTTGAGCAGGACTGCATCATGTTTAGTGCAGCAATTACCGGTAATAGCACTGAGAGAAAATGACATCAGTTTAGTTAACTTTGTTGAAATCAGTCTTACGGACAGTGACAATGAACCCCTAAGGCAGCTACAAATGACATCAATCAAAACTTCAATGACAGCAAAGCATGTGAGTCACACTGCTCTTATTGTTCTGTTCAGTTCTATGATTATTTAATTTGGTAATTAGGAAATGACGGAAGGAGAGATACGTAAATGTCCCCGCCTGGATACAAATCGGTAACTTTGTGGATTTTGATCTGGGCGTTTTAACTCCTAAGCCACAGTGTCACCCCACAGCCACTACATATTTAACTGATCCTTTTACTGACAGTGATGTGAGAATCACGTACACTTTTATATTTTACATTCTTTCGATTGTATCCCACGGCCTTCTTAAAGCTGAACTCCACGGCCGACGGTCAAAAATTCAAAAAAGAAGTTAGTAAGTGAGCCTTGATTTGTAGAATTTTCGATCATTATTTCTTTTCTTTTTAGACAGCTGACAGTAGAGATGTGACAGGAACGGAGAGGGGAGAGAAAGATGGGAAATGACGTACAACAAAGGTCTCATGCCGGACGGCAACCAGCAACTAGATGTTGCCTTCTTCTGGATAAAAGCTACCAATCATCGGACTGACATAAAGTGTAGCATATAGTGTATACGTGTTTCACTGCACTGTGATCACAGGGCAAACATCATATTTATGGCTGATAATCTGAGTGAATAATAACAATAACAATGACTTTATTTATATGGCACCTTTAAAAACAGAGTTTACAAGGAGCTTTGACAGACAAAGCAGCAAAAGCAAGATAAAAGGCAATAAAACAACAGAAAGCTCAGCAGTGAGGCCCAACAAAGCAGACAAACTAAGGTAAGAGGTAAACCCTGATAAAACAGTACAATAGATAAAACGATAAAACCAAATCGATACAATAAAAATAAACTAAGAAATACATAAATGAGATGATTTAGTTAAATAATTTAGTAAAATCAATAATATAATAAAGCACTAAAGCCACAACATCACATAAAAGCCAGTCTGTTTTAAGAAGTGATTCAAAAGAGTGAAAGCAGTTTTGTTTTCATTTATTAAACTTGTTGAACGAAATTTAAGATCTTGGCAGAGATCCAGAGGTATAATCCTCACGAATGTTGCTTTCCCCTCTTGACTCCAATGTCGATGTATTAGTCAGCGTATTAAGAGTAGGTGTGTGTTTACAAAAACCTTTGTGAAGGAATTTTGGGAGGGTTAAAACCAATTTCACTGGAACTTAAGGTATGACATCTACCTAATGCTCATGGTTAGTTCATTCAGGCAGAGACCGAAGCCATGTCCCAGTGAACTAAGCTGCAATACAAGTACTTAGGGATCTTTCTGAGGACATTAAAGAAGTTCTCCAGTACACAGGACTAAACTGGTAAAGCCTGTTTCTTTTTTTTCTTTTGAAATAGTAGCTGCCTTGCAGCACAACTGCAAAAAAGATGAGACAGTTGGAAGTATGTGAGCCAAATCACCACAGGGTTTGAGACCATGGATGGGCTCATATTATCACGTACACATGCCCTGCATTTACACAACACAACTCATAGGTTTGCTTGCTGACTTTTTAACCTGAATAGCTGCATGTGCCTTCATTCTCACGCTTACAAGTAATCATAAGCAGCAACAACTCTCAACAGCTTGTGATTAAAACAAATAAGTTAACATTTACTTTGTTTTTTGCATTCATTTTCAATCAAATATTTGCTTGTAAAAATATTTATTACTATGATTGTCGATAATTAAGAATGTCATGCCTACCAACAGAAGCAGGGGAATGGTCCTCATCTCGGTCCACTCTGCTTGATATCCTGTGTGGGAGTGATCCAGGAGAGTCAAAGTCAGCTTGAGTAAGAGTGCAGAGAAAACAGCCCACAATGCCTGCAGGCAACAGGTTGGCTGACTTTGCAGTTAACAAAAGGCTGTTTGTCCCGGAGTGCAATTCTGTGCGGTGTGATCTGTCAAATGCTTTACGTTTTACAGTTAAATATTAGTAGGGCAAGACCAGTAGGAGCTGTATACCTGTGTACTTGCTTCTATATCTAAATATATTTTGTGAAAGATAATGTGACTTATTGGGCTTTCCGGCTGTGCTGAGCAAACCGGGCTCGGCTCAGGTGTACACCCCTCCAGCTCCATAGCTCACGTTACCATGTCTTATTTATGACTGACCTGCATCACACGCAAAGGTAGCCCAATTTCATGGATCCTGTGAGGTTTTTGTTATAGTGACTGAAAGGACATTTTAAACCCACTGGTGCAGTGTAAGTCACTCTGACACTCACTGTCACCTCACATACATTCAGTACATTATGTTCTTTTGCACAAGCATATTTCCATACACTTACTTACTTCTGCTGTCATACGTCACTTGGAATGAAATGTTCTCTTCATTGTCTCTCAGTAGGAATGATGGTTTGTTGTATATTGTTATATATTTTATTATATTAAGATTATTTATTATATCATACTATAAAATGAATCATACCTCTCTATATTTAACTTGTAGTCTTGTCTTTAAGTGTTCTCGCATAGTCTCTATGTTTCAGCCTACTTCTATTCTTGTTTTAGTTTTATCTAACTCTTATTATTTATTTTACATATTCATTCTGTTTATCTGTACGTATTATGCTGCAAAAAAACAAAAAACAAAATGTCCCCTCAGTGTAGCCTGGCAAGAATCAACCAGAAGGGAGAAAAACCCAGACAATTAAACAAATATGATTGATGATAAATAAAACAAGCTATATATGGACACAACGGCGCCTGAAAACTTTGCTTAAAAAACATCACCAAAGCATACAGTTGTATTGTGTGTTAATGCTTTCTTGGGTTTTGATATGCAGCTATAGGTGGCACCTCTATTTTTTTTTTTTCTTCTGCTGACCGCTTCCACTCTCATGTGCCAGCTATCATCTCAATATGGAGAGTACAAAACCATCTGTTAATCTAGTTGTCTGAAATCCTAACAAGCCGACGTGGCTTTTGTAGAAGAGACTCACTTGATCAATTCAGAGATTATTGTTCATGTAAAAAAAAGTTTTAAAAAGTATAAAAACATGGAGTGGCTAGAAGACAGGGACGAGGAAGGAAGAATGATATGTTTGGAAGCTCAAAATTGACAGAATAAAAATGTATCTATGTAATATCTATGTGCCAAATATCAAAGATCCAGGCTTTTTTCATAAAATAAATAAATTAGTGGGGAGCATAGTTGATGGGCACACAGCTGGAGATTGTATATCAAGTTTTGGATGGGGCTCTAGACAAAACAACTCCTTCTTTAACTAAATATGCCAAAAGATTGAATGGCAATTAAACTATTGACCTTGGATTGACGGATATATGGAGGCTTGTTAACGCAAGATAAAGGGAATATACGTTCTACTCTTATAGTCACAAATCTCACTCCAGGATAGATCATCTGTTGATAAGGTTGAATATTTTAAACATTGACCATTTCTTCCTGTGGAACAACGGTTCAACAGATAAAGTTGGAGGAGCATGGGAGGCCTCTTAAATCATAGCTTATTCCATTAGGAGAAAAAAAGAGAGCAAATTAAAATAGTAAGTGATTTGGAATCTCAGCATAAAGAATTAGAATAAATATTGTCCGAGAATTCATATTTTATAGAAAATGTCAAATATTCAAAGTACAATGTGCAAAGGCCTGAGACTGATATGGCAAAATGATCTTGGCAATAAGATTAGGGAAGATGTATGGCAAGAGATAATATTAAAATGTAGGCTGGGCTACAAGGGATGCGAGAAGAACGTTTAACCATTACAAAATTGTGCATAGATATTATTTTACACACCTAAAAACTGTTTGAAATGGGCTTAATGCAGGACAGTAAATGTTGGAAACGTAACAAAGAGGGCACTCTTTCTCCAGGCTCTGTGGGAGTGTTCCAATGTCAGAGCCCACATACACCCGCGGCCTTTCAGTTAAGTGCTGAATGTATTTTTTGTTGTTGATTTTTGTATCTATGTATAATGTTAATATGTTTGAATGAATACAAATTTAAATGACTCAGACAACAAACTCAAACATGCTCTGCTAGTCAGTTGCCTGGCAATATGGATAATAAAATCATATTCCTGATCAACTCAACAGCTTTCTTTTAACGGATTTAGCCTCAGGTAACCTTAAGCCTTCTTTTGCACGCATGGAGCAGGCAACGGCCTATTGCCATCTGTAACAGTTCACTGCATGATTAAAGAAAACCAGTTTGTCATTAGTGCCATTAGTTTCGGGTAAATGACATTTGTGAATATAGTCACCAAATACACACCGTCTTTCTTAATGATAATCCAAAGCGGATTTTGCTGCCAAAATACAGTAGGCTACAAATTTGTCAATTAATTTAATGTCAATTAGGATTATTTGACTTAAGGCTTTTCTGGGAATGTAGTATAATGATGAGGTATACCCAGTACTTAAGTTTGTGGAGTCTATGCATTTTTAAGGATTCAAGGCACAACAGGGTTGTTTCATCAAGCAGAATGTTCTCAGTCTCAGTTTGGGTGACCTCAGTGATGGAGGGAGGGAGTTTCTGGGTCCATGCTTATGGATGAAAAAGAAATGAGAGGTGGCAAAGTTGTAGATCTGGAAAGGAGGAATTAACTACTGTTGACTCTAGGTTTAGGAGCTCATTGGACTCATTTTTTACTGACAATAGTGGAGGGAAAGGTTGAATGTGCCTGTTGGAAGACTTAAGAGTAGACATTGGGCGAAGGCAGGTTGCCAGACTATCGCAGGACACATAGACAGGCATTCACATTCACGGACGATTTAGAGTCCTCAATTAACCTCTGCTGTCTTTGGACTGCAGTGGGAGGAAGCCGGAGAACCCGAACAGAACCCACACTGCCACGGGGAGAACATACAAACTCCACACAGAAGGGCCGTCCAGCCCGGGATTGAACCCCGGGCCCCTCTTGCTCGGATGTCATGTTGATAAATTATGGTTTATAATTCTGTCTTGTAGGATGCGGTTATTGCAGTGGGAGACAAAGCAAACGGTAAAGGTGGTTTATCGAACATTCTTCATAAATTTTGGTCTGCCCAGGGTAAAGAATGTCCGCTATGTTGGAGAGTTTTGATGATTACATGCCTATCAAGTTAAAATTCGTACATATCATGAATCATAAGTCTCTGATGAACAGAATATGTGTAAGTTCTTTGCCAAGAGGAAATTCATGAGAAACGCTGTGTCATAGAATGGATGACGAGGAAACGAACCATGTAGTAGCGCACAATGCAGTGTCTCATAGCTTTTCAGCAGTCCTTGTCATGATATATGGCAAATACAATCGATTAAATTACCATTTATGTATCTAAGAAAATGCTAACTTGTGAAACTCGAAGAACGAGAAAGCTCAATATAGAGAGAGAGGAGAGAAACAAGAGTATGAGTCAGTGCCTTATATCCTAGGGACATTTGACATTAAAATTGTTCCTGTGAGAAACTGATTTTGTCCCTTGCACACTATGATACAGGTGAACGCTGAGCAGTTATAAACAGCTCCTGAAATGATCAAATTGTACGGCTTAAACCTATAGTTAGGCTCCCGTGTGAACACTGTGACCCTGAAGAGATCCCTTCCTGAAGTGATTTCAGTGTACGTGATGGGGGACATAACCCACAGTCCTTGTTCTGTTCCATATGTGGCGGGGTCTTAAGGGGGGTGAGGGAACCAACAACGCCACCTGGAGAAAATACACCCTGGGAAATATAAGCTTAACAACCTTAAGATATTGTTTTTTAGAATTGTTAAGGCACACAGATTCGTTACTGAAATTAGAGAGAGACGTGTTTCGTAAAAATGAACCAACGGTTATATTCAAATAAATGAATCAAAACAGAGGCAAAACAGGCAAAACAGAGGCAAACAGGGGCAAAACAGAGGCAAAACAGGAGCAAAGCAGGGGCAAAACAGGGGCAAAACAGGAGCAAAGCAGGGGCAAAACAGGGGCAAAACAGGAGCAAAGCAGGGGCAAAACAGGGGCAAAACAGGAGCAAAGCAGGGGCCTTTGCTCCCCAAAGGACCCTCCTCCCCAGCACCATCTGTCTTCGCAGATTCAGCACTCCATCAGCATCTCCAGCCAACTCCTGCAGAACCTTCAGCCACCACTACCAGTGTCTGGACTCCTCGGGGATATTTACCACTACAAGCCACCACAGGGACAGGACAGGGGACAAAAAAGGAATGAGGTAATGCCAACAGGTGCCTTTTATAAGCTGGCACTGATGGCTGTGTTCACAACCCGACGCCTCATTCTCTGGGGAGCATTCCCCACCACACATAGACTAAATATAAGAAGTGGCCTTAATCAATGTGACGTCATCCGTTGGTTTGTGGACTGCTTTTTTGAAGCCTCAAATTTTGTCTTCTGGCCATCGACATCTTGGATTGGATCTTGGAACCAGCAAACGGCAGTGACCATGTTTGGACAACGGAGGAATAAAAACGCAGTAGAGACGGAGTATCATTATAAGACTCTAATACACCCCTATAAGGTCTACCTTAGGTCTACCATACTCTAAATGGGACCAAAATGTACTAAATGAACATCATGCTGTATTGAAGAAGACTTGAAACTGGAGATTGAGACCATGAACTCATGTTTACAATGTTTACTGAGGTAATAAATCAAGAGAGAAGTAGAGTCATTTTCTCATAGACTTCTATACAATCAGACTTGCAACCAGAGGAGTCGCCCCAGGTTTAAGGCACTTCCTCATTGGTTTGTACAATTCCCTCCCAATATCCAGTATGAACATGAGGAATGATTACATCAGCAAAATATGTTGAGCAATCCTTTAAGTACACGAACATCTCAAGCGTTGTTTGAATTATCGCCGACATGTTTAGCATTCCATTGTGTTTGTTACAATCTATTAATGAGGTTGAGAAACAGCAGCACAGACTACTTAAAGTCTTTAAACGGTTTTTATTTAGTTCATATAGGTGTTCAGTTCAAGTGGAGAAGAGATATTCCACACATCATTTAACACTGTAAAAAGGTCGCTTTGAACGATGCTGTAGGCTCGACCAGGGGAATACCTGTTTTGCAATATTTACCATCCACACCCTCAACTCACATGCACAAATCCCTCATACTCACACAAACAGATATGCTGTGCAGAAACAAACAAGTATTTCTCAGCTGAATTACTCACTCGCCACATCGTCAAATATATCAAACTTCCAAATCACACCTCACACGGGGGAGAGGAGTAACTCGGTATTTAGTACAGTGATGCAAAGTTGTTACATGATTGATAATGTATAATGCAGTCACTAACAAGATCGAAATGGCATGCATCTACAAACACAGTTCCATTCGTGATACTGTAACTAGTTTGCACATGCACATGGCAATAGATCCAAGTACAACTTGTTGTTGGGTTTTGCTCACTGTGCATGAATTCTTGCCTCAGGTTGATCTTCTGAAACACAAAAAGAAGATACGTAATGAAACTGTAATTTTGCTCCTTTGAAGCCGGTCCATTCCAGTCTGATCACTCTTTAAGCCAAAGAGTCAAACGGCTGTCAGTCTGAATGATTCAAATTCTCATTGTTATGTCCGGTAACTCCTATTAGAGGAATGCCAGGTACTGTCATCTAAATGCCGATAAAAAAGGAGTGAAATCCGAGGGCCTCAGAGTTCAGGTGTAAGTAAAAGTTAAAACATGTTCTTGCATGGGAGCGGGATGACTCATGCTATTTGCATATTCAGTCTAATGACACCAAGAGTTTCAACAAACAAAGGTTTTAGATTGAACAAACCAGATCAACCATGCTAGGGTTTTCCCCAAAAGAAAGGATTGCAAATGTAGAGCGACTCTTTTTACCCACGTTTTTACCCAAGAGAGTAAAATTCAGTCTTTATGGAGATTTAGTCACAAAGCATCTTTCCTCCTCGTCTTCCTCCTCCGTTTCTTCATCCCTGGCACGGGGAACAGAGGTCAGCAGCAGAGTGTCGGCATGGACCTCCTCATCGTCCGACTGGATCACAGGCGTGTCGACTCCCCCCCCGCTGGTATCAGTGGAACCAGATGACGTAGAGGACATGCGGGGCTTTGAGCCGCGGGAAACTTCGTCTTGCCGTTTCAAAGGCGCGCGCTCCCTGTACACAACCTCCGCATCTTCATCCTCCTCATCTTCTTCTTCTTCGTCGTCACCTAAAATGTCACACAAAACCTTTTTAAACCGGAGTTACTGATTTAATTAAAAATGTTTATTTACCTGTATACATAGAACTCCACATTAATCCCACACATTGATGCAATGCAGCAAAGTGCTGTGCATTTTATATTTAATACAACAGAGACACAAGCTGTCTTAGTAAGTAAAAATATACATTCTTGTCTCGATGTACCTGATATAAAAAAATTAAGTTTGATTCATGAAATAGTTAATAATAACAAAAAATATAAAATACAAAATATCAGCCAAAAACCTTGACATTCTGAGTTGTGCCACTTTTTTGGGCACATTTAGTGGCCTGCTTTTGTAAAACTCTGCATGTGTAAGTTGATATCATGAATGTCTTTAGGAAGGTACGGAGGGTCGTTTAAAGGCTCAGAGGCCTTCAGTGCACCTGGGAGTGGAGATGCCAGCGCTCCCTCATCTGCTCCTGAGCCTGAGTTGAGGAACACATCGAGGGCCTCCTGGTCAGAGATGTCCATCAGGTCCATCTGCTCCAGGACGTCCACGTTCACCTCCATAGAAGAGATGCTCCCCATGGGGGCTGCGTATACATGCAGGACAGCGAATATAACATGAATATACTGTACACCAGAGTCACTGTCACCTGAATCATAGTTTTGTAAATGTTCAGGTTTTTAAATTGAGCTAATAAACAGTGACACTTTAAAACATTTTAAACCTATAAATAGTTTGCAAAGCAGATTTAACTTACTTGCCCATCAGAAAGTAGTAAATAAAAATGTTAAAAAGGATTTAATGGACAGTCACTCACGTTTCCTGCAGTCGACCTGCAGGTGAGCAGAGGGCAGGTAGTTGTCGACGTCATGCTGGAAGACCTCTTCAAAGAAGCGCTGTCTCTCCCTCAGCTTCAGGTGCTGCGCAGAATCATTGTCCAGCACCCGCTGGGAGTTGTCTGTCTCCGCTGACCACCCAAACGAGATTCATACAAAAAAAAAACGAACACATAAAAAAAAACATTCTTCACTGACGTTCTTCACCGAAAAGGACTAAACTCATAGTTTCTGTTCATTTACTTGCATTATACGCAGAAAGTGTAAAGCAAAGATGCACTGCAGACTTCCTGTTTCACGTAGCTGCTCAGCACTGTGCTTTGTGGTCTTTTTTCCCCCCGAATGCAAAAAAAGAAAGCATTTTTCTTGACAGCATGTGGAGTAAAAATAATCTTTTTTACTCTATATTGAGGAACTGTCACTTTAGTTTCAGATTAGAGGATAACATCAACTTCATCATGCTAAATATGGCTGAAAGATGTGTTGATATATAATGTTAGCAAGAGTAAATAGAATACATTATGCAAATAACGAATCCGTCGTGACCACGGCCACGTAGTAAACAGTAAGTGTATACCATTTCCAGCCATTGGCGGAGCCTGAAATGAGTCATCTTTGTTTGAAATGTGTCATCTTTTTTTGCATTTTTGACATTTTTTTATTTCTATGCGTGATGATACAGACATGCTATGAAAAACAAGAGAGCATCTGTCCTCAGGTCTACCTCCAGCATCGACCTCTGCCATGATGACCAGCTGTGGTTGTGTAACTGTGCTACATCCTCCTCTCAGCACACATTGTGCCTTCTCCCACTGGGCTCCAAGAGTTGACACTTTGATTCATGTCACCAGTGTTTCAACGTGTGTGTGTGTGTGTATGTGTGTGTGTGCAGTGTGTGTATGAGCATGTTCACAAAAACTGTACGAGTGTCTGCTTATGTATTCATGCTTTTGCTGATGCATGCATTTAGTTTATGCTCATTTTGTCACCCCGTGTGTGTATCAAGCTTCCATGATTAACTTCTTTACATGATGCCAGCAGATGGATCCAGCATGCACAGCAACAACATTCACATTACTTCATCTACAGACCATTTGAGTGCTACTTTTCTTCTTGTTTGAAAACAAACAAGTTGGTATCAAGACTAGTGCTGGGCAAGTCAACGCGTTATTATCGCCTTAACGCATTAATTAATTAATGCAGACAATTATTTTATTGGGCGTTAAGGCATTTTTTTTTTTTTTTATTATTAAGCGGACATTTTTAACACAAGAATCTGGCAGCGAGCGGTGAACAGCTGTGTTTGTGTGGCGTCACTTCCTTCTGCTGCCGCTCTCCCCCCCCACCGGGTGACACGGCCGGTCCGGAATTTTGCGCATAACAATGCGTTTAATCGCAAAAAAATCATGTGATTAATCACGATTAAAAATTGTAATCGTTGCCCAGCACTAATCAAGAAGCTATGAGCGCTGGGCTTTAAAGCAACGTGGCCAAATGATAGAATTACAATCTCCGGGTCCGTCATGTGATGCCATGGGGCCCCAAACATACTTTTTCCCAAAGACTTATATTGGGAATGAAATGTCTGTAACTCAGGTATATCAACTTCTTACAACAAACACACGCTAGCCATTATTTAACCATTAGGTCCCTAAAGTTGTAAACTGCACTATTAGAGTCCAGAGTTATTTTCCCTCCTCCGTTCATGTGAATGAGCGCGAGAACTGGGTCAAGGACTTGTAGGAGGGGTTAAAGGAAACCCTAGTGTGCTTGCTCCATGGGCTCCATGGATGAGGAAGATCGCCGGAGGATCTGGGTATATTTAATCAGAATTTTATACTTGGAAGTTAAACTTTTTTTGCTTTATGCGCCTCTTTGAAACTTCCATAGGATTGAACGGGAAACTCGCCTCAAACGCTGTATCCACTTCTCTTCTTTCATCCATGGTCTGTATGACCCAGCCTCCCCCTTCAGACAGCTCCATCTCTGGAGACCCAGTCCATCTGTCACTCTTCCCCAGCCCAGTGTGTCCACTGTCACCCTGGCTGATATTTCAGTTGGTGAAGTAACTGTTAACACAGTCAATGACATAAAGCATTCACTGTTTTTAAATATAAACCAGTATCCTGACGTGAAACGTGAAAATAATAACTATGTAATTTGATTTAGCAGAACATGCTGTGACGTTTATCTTATTGCTTCGGATCACTTAACTCTGAGCTACATTGGGGATTTTTTTAAATTTAATATTTAAAATTCCAGCTGGAGACAAGCGACCAATCCAGCTTCAGTCAAAACGAATTTCTGGGAGATTTTTGCTCCAAATTCTCAAAGGTGAGAAGATGATTGTTTTGGACTGTTGGCCACACAAAAAAGACATTTGATGATGTCATGATGGGATCCTGGACAATGTGATGGGCTATTACACGTCAGAAATGTGTCTGCCTAAATTTCCAATGCAATGTCATTGAATCAATTGTCTTGATTGACCAGCAGGCCAAATAACGGAAAATAAATAGTTTACAATAATTTGAAGCATCAGATCGTCACAAGCCGAAATCATCAAATGTTGTGAGTTTCACTTTGCTGCGCGTCATCCCCCCTCTCTCCCCTCTTTCCTGTTATTCTCCAGCTGCACTAATAAAGGCAAAAAAAAAAATATTCAGTCAGTTGACTTATTGTTGCAGAACTAGTCAAAAAGTAGAGTAATGTTTGCACCAAGAAATATAGACCCCCCACTGCATAAGTCCTCTGCCCCAGCCTGTCCCATCAGTCCAGCAAGATGGCACATGCAGCCAAATGAACAGCGTGACTGATTTTCTTGCATAGTATTTGGCATTGTGGATCAAGCTATGTCATCAAATTTAAGAGACACACTCTTTAGGCAGACCCTCTGCCTCAACATGCCAACCTGCCAAAACCTCTTGCCTTGCTGTCTAGTTGCCACCTGCCAGTGTCTGTGATCATTCAGCGGTTGTTATTCGGTAGCAGTGGGCAGCTTGAGACAAATGAACCAGCTACTACAGGCTGTTACAGCAATGACGAGGCTACTGATGATGGAACTACATAAAGCTTACGTAAACTTCGGCTCTGCCTGCTGGCCTGATGGGGTTATTTCTCTCTCTCTCTCTCTCTCTCTCTCTCTCTCTCTCTCTCTCAAAATTAAATTTTGCTACTCAAGTGGACATGCACAACCCACGCACCAGCTCAGCGGCATGTCTCCATCTGTCTGCCCCAGCGTGGGGGGAAAAACATGTATGTCAAAAGCTGACTCATCCAGATAACCTCTGAGTTTTCTACCACCCTGCTGCGCAAGACGTGTAGGAGGTCTCCATGCAAATTGGTTAAAAGGAAAATTTGCTGATTCTTAATCTGATCTCTACCTAACCGAGTGGAAAAAACACTGTAACCTAGTGCTACTTCAGCTTTAGTAGCTGTGGGGCGAAAGGCTCTGCTTGTTCTCGAAGCTATGAAAATGTCATCACAAAATATGAGTGCAGAGGATGTTATGGACTAGGATTTTTTTTACAGTGTAGATTTTACAGTATTTTGGCTGACTCCGATATTCGGGGACCCTTCAGAATCTGAGCTGCCGAGAGCAAACACAGACCAGTGGAGCCTTTTGCTCAAATTGCCCAGCGATGCCAACAGAAACAGAATCATTCTGCTGTGATGAAAGTCAGCGTTGGCAGTTTTTGTTGGATGCTGTCGCTGACGACGGCCCTGAGAGAGGATGGACGTGTGTGCATTACTATCAGACACAGATGTGCTGGTGACCTTCTTAAAACAGCCTGTAGAGCATTTTTTCACATCCGATTTTTTTCGACCAAACCTGAATAGTGGAAAAGACTTACCAGTTTGAATGAAGTGTGTAATTCGATGAAATAACAAGGCAATCAAGCCTGTTGTAGTTTGGTGTGAAAGAGAAACTTGAATTTGGAAGGTGTACGGTTGTGTTTCTTGGTTTAGGTTTATTTTCGTTATCTGATGTGACAAAATCAAAGCTGGCAAGCAATGTATCCTGGCACAGCTCAGCAGCAGGAGAGATAAGCTTTACCTGTCAATATTAGCACGCACTGGGGAATTTATTTCTTCAGTGGACCACATTTACCATCAGCCCTGATTGGACATGCACATAGAATCATTTCCCTTTAAGGTTACATACCATAATCTGTGAGACTGTTAACGATCGTTATGTGTTTGTTTGGATCATTGACTAAAGTATTTTCCCCCTTTCAATAGGTTTAATTCTCTAAAAGGCGTTCCAAAAGAGAAAGTGATGATGAGATAATGAGTGATTTTTGGATAATACATCACTGAAGATATACAAAAGGGGGATGTACAAGACAAGTTTGTGCAAGAGTTAATGAGTGATGTTAGACGAGGCCACCTGTTATTTTAGACTGCTGCTTTATTCTTATCTAGACAAGAAAATACATGTGCAGCACTGTAGGTGTTTCAAGGAACAAGAGCTGTTGACCTCAGAATATTGAGAGACAGAGCTTATAAAAGAGGAAGAAGGAAATGCAAAAGAGAGGAGAGGTACTGGGCTTCAAATCTGATTTGACCTGATTTAAATGCCATTTTTTTAGATGCAATGTAACACAGTAATACTGAACTTGTACGCTCTTTCACCTTAGAGGCTCCGGTTTGTTTATCTCACATCACTAAAAGACCGAGACAGAAAGACAAATCTTTTATTACACTAACTGAGTTAAGATTTACAGTATTTTAAGAGCGGCCCTCTGAAACACATTTGATATGTCATAGGAACAATGCCCCCATACCCAGCAATCCCTGCTCCATCTCAGCCCACTGAACCATAATTACCTATCGGGCTTACAGTTACATAATGCCGGTGCAATCCTTCAACTGCACACCCAACAACACTAAACTGCTGGAATGTATGAACTGTGTAATTACGCGTACATGTCTTGCATGTCTGCGTTGGCTGAGAGTTCGGTATAAAGTAGCTGTAGTGTCAGTGATTTGAGGGAAAGAGCATTACTGGGTAAGCTTGCCTCAGCTAAGTCTCATACTGACACAAACAAGGGTGCAGTGAGGCCATGCAGTTTGTGCATTACTTGTGTGTCAAGGCAAACCGCTCTGAATAGACGGAATTTAATTTATTCTTCAAAAAAAACGTTTTTGGTCTTTGTGGTCCTCATTTGCACAGCCATTGTAATTCTTTACCCTTTATACATTTTCACTCTTGCATTGCTATCTTTCAGTTCATTGGCAGTTATATTTAGGACTCTAACACAAGATGTAGAGGTGGTGGTGGGGGGGGGAAAGGAAAGGCCGTGG